GGGGGGAGGAAGATGGAGGAGAAGACGGAGGATAACGCAATCTGAGCGGAGGTCAAGTCAGTTCGGCGATGGCGATGTTCGCGCACGTTGAGTTTCAAGAAACAGTACTTGTAGTTAGTAGCTATTGAGCGGCTTTCTCTGGATATTTGACTCCGGCCGCTGGCGGCTCGCCTTGTTCGGCTGTTCCTGGCTGCTCACGCTCCGCGTTGCCCGCTCCGCACAGCTCCCAGTTCCCAGAGTGCATTTGCTTCGCCGCCGGTGCCGAAGAGCTCGAGGCGAAGGTGTAGATGAGGGGGCAAAGGAGGAAGACGTCTCTCCTCTGGCCATGCCGCCTGGATAAGAACGCGTCGACAGACGTTGGCAGCAGGCGTTCTGGACGGGCGCGCGCCTCCTCGAGGATTCGAGGCTCGAGGGATTCGAGGCTCGAGAGGAGGAGGAGGAGGAGGAGGAGGAGGAGGAGGAGGAGGAGGAGGAGGAGGCCTGCCCCTGCAGGAGACCGACGACTCCCTGCGACCGCCAGGGCAGGCGGGCGCGCCGGCCACGTGCCCCGAGGCCGTCCTGCCGAGCGTGCGGAGCCGGGCGGCGCCCTCCGGGAGCACGGCGGCGGGGGCGGCGGCGGCGCCGTCGGGCAGCGCGTTGGCCACGCAGGGCCTCCCTCCTCCCTCCTCCTCCTCCTCCCTCCTCCTCCTCCTCCTCCTCCCTCCTCCTCCTCCTCCTCCTCCTCCTCCTCCTCCTCCTCTCCTCCTCCGCCTCCTCCTCCTCCCTCCTCCTCCTCCTCTCCTCCTCCCTCCTCCTCCTCCTCCTCCTCCTCCCTCCCTTCCTCCTCCTCCTCCTCCTCCTCCTCCTCTCCTCCTCCTCCCTCCTCCTCCTCCTCCCTCCTCCTCTCCTCCTCCTCCTCCTCCTCCTCCTCCTCCCTCCCTCCTCCTCCTCTCCTCCTCCTCCTCCCCTCCTCCTCCTCCTCCTCCTCCTCCTCCTCCCCTCCTCCTCCTCTCCTCCTCCTCCCTCCCCTCCTCCTCCCTCCTCCTCCTCCTCCTCCTCCTCCCTCCTCCTCCTCCTCCTCCTCCTCCTCCTCCACTCCCCGGGGGCGGTCTCTCGCCCCGAGACCCTTTTTTTGTCGACGGCCCCGAGGCCTGGCGAGGGCCCCCGGTGGGCGAGCAGTGCGCCTCGAGGAGAAGCCCTCCCTCCTCCCTCCTCCCTCCCTCCTCCCTCCTCCCTCCTCCCTCCTCAGCAGTACGAGGAAGACAGGTGCAAACCCAAGACGTACTCCTCGTCATTGCGGGAAAGGAAACGCGCCTCATCGGAAAACAAAAACGTCTCAGAATCCCCCCCATCGTGCCAGGCACAAGTTCCTCGGATTTTTCAGCGCCACGAGTCCACGTGACCGTTGCGTCCTGACAAGCCCAAACCGTGCCAAGACACCAGACCTGGGATTTCAACACCGCGAACCAAAATGACTGTTGCACTCCGAAAGTCCAAATTCTTGCCAGAACACCAGTCTTGGGACCTCGACAATGCGAACGCTTGGAAATGTTGCGAACTTCCAAAAGGATCGCCCTTCATCTGAGACTCGGTAGCGAAATGTTTGAGACGAGTGCGCGCGGCGCTAAGGCGGGAACCACATGTTGAAAACGACCCGCCCTCCATCCGCGAAGTCGCTGCAATTTTTGTCAAAAGAATGTGCGTGATGTTAAGGCCAGGGTCACATTTTGAGAACGGCCCGCCATCCATCCGTGATGTTGCTGGAAATTGTCCATATGAATGCGCGCGGCCCTACGGAAAGAGCCACATGTTGCAAACAGCCCTCCCTCCACCCGTGAAACTGTTGAACATTCAAGCTTCAGGGCCATACGTGGCGACTCGCTGTTGAAATTTCAAGCTTCAGGTTGCTGAGACTTCCTCACCGTGAGGATGTCTCAGGCGAAACGCCCATCCCGTCCTACCTTTATGTTTTGGGGTGCGACAGGGAGGTACATTCAATCATAAGGAATTGAGATGGAGAAGGAGGAGGAGGCGGAGGAGGAGGAGGAGGAGGGAAAGGAGGAGGAGGAGGAGCGTCTGGCTCCAGCGCGTGCGAGGCATGGCAAGCTGCTCACGATAGGTCGCCAGCTTAAGAAACGCCAGCTGCACCACATGATCCAAGCCGCCATTCAGTCAGCAGCCACCTATGGTCATCGGGTGCTTGGCACCAACGCTACAGAGCTCAGAGCCGCGAGGTTACTACAAGCCCAAGTCGAGTTCGAACGGGTCGATGGGCGGTTCGTCACGCTCATGTTGCTTCTTTCGGATGTTAGCCGCGTCGACCCTGCTTATAAGTTGTTGAAAGGGCCTCTGCTCGAGCTTGCGTCTGCGGCTTAGAGTGACTTGCTGCCGCGCGCGGTTCTCTATGGAGGGGTCCGTGACGCCTGGCAGCGCCTCCAGCAGCATGCTCCACCCTGGCAGTGCATCGAAGGACCTTTCAGTGCGTGCGTAGCTACAGCCATGAGATTAGGCCTCCACATGGACGGGCTTCAATGGTCGCATCACAATATTGAATCCTTCTCTCCTCTCGGCCTCTCTCCTCGGACGGTGGGGGTGGCGTTGGATCGGGTGGTGGACCTCTGGCTGTATCAACGGGTTGCGGACCATCTGGAGTGCCCCGAGTTTGCTCACGGTTTTTTGCTGCAGCCACTGCGCAAGGTCATTCGCGGCCAGCGCACCTCGGTGCAAGGCGCAGCATACATTTGCAGTGCCGCGTGCGGTGGCCAGTGGCCATATCAACGGCAGTTTGATTGTGGCCTCGCGCAGCAGTGGCAGTATCAGATGTGCATTGAGGGTCGCGGCCCCCTCCTGCTTGCGGAGAGGTTGTTGGTGCCGATTGCTCCCCTCCCCACTGCTCCTCGGCCCCCTGGCTGTTGGGTCCTCGGCGGGACAGGACATCTGCAAGGCCATGTCTTTTTGAATGTCAGGCAGCGTGACGAGCACCTACCAGCGGCTCTGCGTGGGCTGGGCTGGGCGTGCGTGCAGGTCATTGCCGACACATGTTGAGCGGAAGCAATCCACGCGAGCTCCCTAGATTGTTTCGTTGCTGACATTGACTTGCTTGAGCTCTGGGTTGCAAGCTCTCCGGTTCTCTTTGCCTGGCATGTTTGTTACAGCGACTCCGCCTCTGTCGTGCATGGCTTTGAGCGCGGTCCTCGCTGGTGCTGCTCGAGCACAGCTGCATGTGCCGAAGTGTGGCGCGTGGTGGGGCCTGACTCCGTCGTCAAAGTCAGAGGCCGCGCCACGCTCGCCGCCGTACAAGCAGGGCATGCCGATCCATTTCATCGTGCTGGCAAAGACTTGGCCGATCGCTATGCCAAAGAAGCCCCAGCGCACGCTAGTCCAGATCCCCAGTTGCGTCGCAAGCTCGAGGAGAAAGAGAGTGTGCTCCAAGAGTGTGCTGCTCGGTTAGGTCGGATTGGCCCAGCGATGGTCGCCTCCGACGCCCTGCATGCTCCTGCGGGCAAGAGGCGAGAGAGGCCTCGGGCTCCGAGGCTCGACGTTCTGCCCCCGCCGCCGCCCGCCACTCCTCGCTGCGTGCTGGCGGCGGCTGTCTGTTCAGTGGCGGGCAGCCCCGCGCAGTGCACCCTTTTCGCGTCGCCGAGACTGGCGTCTCTCATGCGCGGCCTGCGCAGTCTGCGGCGCCAGCGGCCCTGGCGCCGTGCCTGCTCCCGCCGCGCCCTGCCCAGGTCGTCCCGCCCCCAGATCTTGGGGCCACAGGGTCTTGCAGGGGCCAGCGCGGGGACAATGCCAGATCAATGAGGTCCGGTACACCCCCGAGGAGCCCGGGCAGACTGGCCGCCTCCTCGGGGCAGGTGGAGCCGCGCCCGCTCGCGGGCTCCCGCCCGCAGCGCCGACCGAGCCGACCTCTCGGCCCCGGCCTTGCGCTGCCTTGCCGGCGGCCACGTCGAGCGCGGCTGGAATTCGTTCGGCTCTGGAGCGGCCAGCCTGACGGCGCTGGCGGCCGGCAGCGGTGGCGGGAGGTGGCAGCAGGCGGCGCCCGCTGCAGGCCACAAGGTTAGGTGGTCTGGATTGAACCGGGTCGCCTTGGGCTGCGTCGACGAGGAGGAGGAGGGGGAGGGGGAGGAGGAAGAGGAGAGGGAGGGGGGGGAGGAGGAGGAAGAGGAAAGGGAGGGGGGGGAGGAAGAATGGGAGGTGGGGGGGGGAGGAGGAAGGGAAGAGGGAGGGAGGGAAGAGGGGCAAGCGGAAGGGGGGGAGGGGAGAGGACAAGCTAGGTGCGCTCGCGTCATATCTGACATCCTACCCCTCCCTCCCATCCCTTACCATGGCGTAGATCCCCTCTCTACTCGCACAGTCGGATGTCGAGCAGGGCAATGATCCCGAAAGGGTACGCGATGCATTGTAGAGCACGGCATGGCATGGCGTAGAAGAGCACCGCAAAGCGTAGTATGTCACAGCATGGCGTGGCGTGGCGTAGTGAAGAATTGCATCACAAAGCTTTGCAACGCAAAGCATGGCATCGCACAGCGGCCCCGAACATAACATTGCATAGCATGGCGTTGAAGATCAAAGCGTAGCATGGCATAGCACGACGTGGCACTTAAGCACTGCATATCACAGCTTCAGCTGAAGGCATGGCATCGCGCAGCGGAACGCAACCTAGCATTGCATTGCATGCCGTGGCATGGCACGGGAAATGACGCCAGCGCTGCAGCGGGAGCACGATTCGGAACGAGCGGAAGCGCGGAAATGAGGCCAGCGCTGCAGCGGGAGCACGATTCGGAACGAGCGGAAGCACGGAAATGAGGCCAGCGCTGCAGCGGGAGCACGATCCGGAACGAGCGGGGCCGAAAATGAGGCTGGCGCCTCAGCGAGAGCTGCATTCTGAAAAAAATGCAGGCGAAAACCCAACTCCAGGGAATCCTGTGTGTAAAAAAAACAGTACGCGGGGGGCGGAGGGCGAACACTCCCAACCCGTCATCAGGGGAAGGAGGAGAGTAGTGTTCATATTGAGTAATTGTAGAGAGGCGGGACGGGGGGAGGTAGAGCGGCAGGGGGAAAGGTGCGAAAGGGAGGAGGGAGGAGCGAGGAAAAGCAGGGAGGAGGGGCGCACGCATGGAGGCAGGGGGGAGGCAGGGGGGAGGACGAGGAAAAGGGGGCGTGGAGGAGGAGGAGGAGGAGGAGGAGGAGGAGGAGGAGGCGGAGGAGCGGGAGAAGGTCCTTCGCCTCCGCCTCCTCCTCCTCATCCTCCTCCTTCCGTGCTATTCTGGCTCAAGATTTTCGCCTTGGGTCCTCCCATGGGAATGGATGCCGCTAGTCCGCGGCCAGTCCTCGCTTTCTTGCCGCCGCGCCGAGGGGCGAGCTGCCGTCCGCTCCTGCCCTCAGCCCTGGCGTTGCGGCCGCCATCCACATCCTCGCATCGTGGAGCCCCGCTCCGGGTGGCCGTGTCGCCTCGCCGAGCCCAGCTCCAGGCCTCGACGTCGCCTCGTCGAGCCCCGCTCCCCGCATCCATGGCCCCGTCGAGCCCGACGCCGAGCCGCCCCCGATCACGTTCGCTCACCATCCCGCGGTCTTCCGTCGCTGCAGGCTCCCCGCCGCCGTCGCCAGAAGGCGGGGCGCCGGGGCCCAGCTGGACCTCGCGAGCGCCCTCCTCGCCGAGGAGAGCGCCCCCGCGCCGAGCCCGCCCGCGGGGCCCGCGCCCGTGTGGAGACGTCGTCGTGGCTGGCCGCTCTTCTGGGCGCGCTGCCCCGCGCTCCTCTCGCACGGCACGGTCGGCTTCGCGCGCCGCCTCCGCCGGCCCATCGGGAGATGTATTCCGACAGGATGCGCTCCGAGGACACAGTCGAGCGGAAGCTGGCCGCCGACGTGGAAAGGTCCCCCGCCTTCCCATCGCAGGAGCTTGCACAAGGAGCCGCCCAGTCTGCCGCTCACTCTGGCCAGGGCGAAGTGCACCCTGCTCCAGGCACCCCAGCTGGCGTGCATGGGGCCGCTGCCCACGGCGCAGCACATCTCGCGATCGCTGCCCCAGCGGTCGAATACGTTCATCCTGCGCCTCCTGCTCCAGGGCAGCAACCACTCCCAGGGCTTCCACCAGAGCTCGACTCCGCGCTGCAGCAGCTCATGCAGCAGCAGGTACAGTGCGCCGCCAGCACCTCCCAGGCGCAGGCCCGCAACCTCCTCCAAGTCCGTCAACGTGAGCGACGAGTGGACTCTCTTCACGAAGATGTCGCCCGTGTTCGTCGCGACCAGGAGCGCCAGTCTTCAGAGCTGCAGCGCATGTGGGAGCAGATCGACCAGATGCGCGACACCCTGGCCCTCCGTGAGGCGCAGGCACCGATCGCGGATGTGAATTCACATGTTGGAGCAAACATCAACATGTGAATACACATTTTGAAATTCGGTATACCATGTTTTTATGGAGTGGCCAGAATGTGAATTCACAGTTTGGGGAAAGGAAGATGTAAATTCACATGTTGGGCAAACAGGAACATGTTAATTCATATTTTGGGAGAATCGCGGGGCCCATTCCAAATCTGTTTTGGGGGTCTACAAGGCATCGTTTGGGAACATACGCGATCCCCAAACGCACAATCAAGACACACTTGCACTCCACTTCGCCGCCCCATGCGCGATATGCAAGAACGCCCGCACGCATGAACGATAATGGATGGACGGCGCGTTTGCCCGCGCGGGCAACGCGCGGGCACGAACGATTGTCCCTCAATGACCGCCAACATTGGATGCCAATCATACCCGATCGCATACATGAGCGATACATTGAGCATACAAGGGCCATTCAGCCCCCATTGAAGACCCCCTGTTGCAGACCCCTTCTTTCACCCTCCAACTGGAGGCGGCGGCCAGCGGGTTCTCCGAGGAGCGACAGCTCCGCGTTGGAGGTTCGAGAGTTTTGTTGCGTTTCCGCGAAGGGTCGTCGGTCCCGAGGCCCACATGGCGGCGCATTTTCGCGGAAGAAGTTCAAGCCGCATTTTCTTTGGACCTCCCTCTTCAGAGCCTGCTCGAGCAGCGCATCAAGAACTGGTTTTGGCCATCCCTGGGGGCGGGGGAGGTGGACCGGGACTCTCTCGAGGATGCGGCGGTCTCTCTTCCGCTCCCGTGGCCGCACGTCCTCCTCCGCGCGCGGCTCGGAGCGCGGGCCACGGGGCGCAGGATGCAGAGAGCGCGCAGGAGTGCGCTGTAATTGGGCGCGATGCTGCCGGCAAGGCCTCGCATGATGACTGCGACCGTCGTCGCCTCCGCCACCGTGTGGCTGCCGCCCCCTGCGCGCCGGCGTGCCGGTGCCCGTCTTGGCCACGTCTGGGCTGCATGGCGATGTCGTTGTCGCCGTCGCCCGTTATCCCTGTTGCCGTCTGGCTGCCATCAGGAGCGGTCGCCTCGTCGCCCTCGGGTCTTCGAGGAGGCCGACGGTCTCTTGGCCTCAGCCCGCCTGTCCACCAGGCCCCGTCTGCGCGGCCGCCAAAAAGCGTGGTCAGACGCGGGAGTACTGCGGCGGCGAGTGGTCGTTCTTCGAGGCCCGCCATGAGGAGGATAGACGTTCACCACCCACCAAACCACCCCAACCCAACCCGAAGGCTCAGATTTTCCCTCGATTTCCAGTGGGGGGGGTGTCGGGAAACATCGAAAAAACACGTGTGGAACCCTTACCCCCCCCAACCCGAAATTCGGGTCTTCGGGTTGGGTTGGGGTGGTCTGGTAGGTAGTCAGACGTCGGGGGGAACGCTGTGCCTCCTCTTCTCCGCTGCTTGAGCGCTAGCTCGGGTCGAGCTTCTGCTCGCCACGCCGAGCCCGCGCCACGAGGCCTATTTTGGCTTCGCGTCATGCCCATCTGGTTTCCCCATCAGCGGTGTCGGTGGGCGCGGTCGGCAGCTGAGGGCGAGGCGCCGCGGCGCCGCCGGCCGCCCCAGTCCCACTGGTGCCGAACGCCGCGCGCAGCACGCACGCGTTGAGGGGCGCGCGGCGGAACGGCGCAGGGGCCCGGGCTCGACGCGCCTCGCCCAGTCGCTCCTCGTGGCGTTGGCTGGGCAGCCGGCCGGTGCAGCCGAGGGGGCCCGCCTGGAACCGCCTCTGGGCCCGACGCTCGAGGGCGAGCAGGCTGGCGCGGCGCTGGCAGCAGCATCGGCCACCCAGTCCCCCGCAGCCCCGTCATGGACCCTGCGGGGGATCGCTGCCCCGGGGAGGGATGGCGAGGCGAGGCCGGCGAGTGGCGAGGTGGAGGTGGAAGTCCCTGTCGGTGTGCCTGAGGCAGGCCGTGAAGACGCCCCCATTGGACGCGAAGGCGGGACCACGGGCAGTCGGGCAGTCGGGCCGCTGTCGCCAGACGTTCTCGCTGCACTGAACCAGGCGGTGGGACCCCCAGCTCAGCCTCCTGCGAGACCCGTCTTATTTCCGCATGACTTCAACAATTCCGCTCGATGAGAAGTGCACACGGCACTAACCATGATTCATCTGTACCGTATACGTCTGTTGCGGCATGTTGTTGCGCCCTCAGAAGCTGACGTTCGCGCAGGCACGACAGTCAGGTGTCTTATGAAGTGCTTGGTTGCACATAGGTAGAATGCCCATCGTTCTTGTATTTTGCGGAGGAGCGTGATCGAATTGTCATGCCCGTTGGTGACTGGTCTGGTGATGGGCGAACATGTGGAGGTCATGTGGAGGCGCTGTATGGATGGACTGGTCGTCGGTGACAGGCGAACGCGCTTGCAAGGTGAATGTGTTTCTACAATCGGGTGAGTACACTGCTTGTGTTCAGGCCGAGGGTCCAGTTCTCAGTTGATTTGATACCAAGCATGCTTCACCTTGTTCTGCGCGCAATGCTTCTTACTTCGATATAGTGAAAGCGTCGGCGCCATCATTCGCAACCGACGCAGTCGATACAGTTCCGCAACTCCGTATAATTTTCCTTTTTGTCCTCCTCTTCCCTTTCCAGCTTCTTTCACCAGGCACTGCCTGTACATGGGGGAAACGGGTGCGGCAAGGCGCCCACTGAAGGCCGCCGGGCTCACACTGAGCTCGGTTGACCGCAGCAGGCCCTAGGGATGCGCAGAGGGAGCGGTCTCGCCACTCCGCGGATCGGCGCGGGCCGTTGAGGCCGCCCCAGGCTATCCATGGGTCCTGCCGAGGCCAGCCACGACTGCCTCGCGGACTGTCTGCGCGCAGCCTTGGGCCCTGCTGGTCAGAAGGGGGGCAGAAGGGAGGGAGGAGGACAAGGAGGAGGAATTACGCTATGTGCGAGGAGAACAGGGGGGACGATGGGGGAGGAGGAGGGGGAGGGGGAAAGTGGAGCAGGAGGAGGCGGAGTAGTTTGAACAAGGGGCGGATGAGGGTGGGGGAAGCTGCAGTGCCAACGGACCGCACTGCACTTCCGAGTCGCAGTTGCGCGGCAGGTGCAGGAGGAGCTCATACTGAGCACCGTGCTGTTCTACAGCAGGGTGGCCACCAACCGCCTTCGTTATGCTGAGTAGCAAGGAGGATACAGACAAGGAGAAGGAGGGCATAGGCGGATCGATGATGAGAATGATGATGCTGATGATGATGATGATGATGATGATGATGATGATAATGATGATGATGATGATGGAATGTTGGTGATGAGGTTGATGGTGGTGGTGATGGTGATGGTGTTGGTCATGATGCGTATTGTGATGATGAAGATGATGGCGATGATGATGATCATGAGCATGACGATTGTGATGATTGTGATGTTTACGGTGGTAGTGATGTTGATGGTGATGGTGATGGTGATGCTGATGGTGGTGATGATGGTGGTGGTGACGATAATGATGATGATGCTACCGACGATGATGCTGCTGATGGGGATGACAACGACGATGATGATGATGACGATTATGGTAATGGTGATGACGATGATACAGATGATATTGCTGATCAGGATTATGATCATGATCCTGCTCGGTCTCATGGTGACAGCGGCAATGGTCGTCATTAACACCACCATCATCGTCATATCCATCACCATCATATGTGTTGACGGTGATGGTTATGATTGTGATGTAGATGTTGATGTTGATGTTGTTGATGTTGATTATGATGCTGCTGATGATGGTGATGATGCTTATGAGTATGATGCTGACTATGATGGTGCTGATGATGATGTTGATGATGTTGTGGATGATGATGATGCTGATGATGATGATGATGCTGATGATGATGACGATGCTAATGCTGATGATGATGCTGATGATGATGCTGCTGATGATGTTGATGATGATGGTGATGATGATGCTGATGATGATGCCGGTGATGATGATGGTGACGATTGTGATGTTGATGACGATAATGATGGTGGTGGCTGTGTTGGTGGTGGTAGTGCTGGTGGTGGTGGCGGTAGTGGTGATGTGGAGGAGGAGGAGGAGGAGGAAGAGGAGGAGGAGGAGGAGGAGGAGGGGGAGGTGACGCTTCAGCGGCTAGACCGCCGGCAGCCTGCGCAAAAAAAAAAAAGGAGGGGGAGGAGGAGGAGGAGGAGGAGGAGCAGTTGGAGGAGTTGGAGGAGAAGGAGGAGAGGAGGGGAGAGGAGAACAGGAGGACGAGCAGGGAGGAGCAGGGAGGGGGAGGAGGACGAGGATCACCAGTGGGAGGACGATGAGCACCTGGAGGGGACGGGGAGGAAGAGCAGCTCGAGGGCGACCAGCTGCCACCAAGGCCCAACCACGTCGATCGCGTGCAGATGGGAAACATGTTGTTCGTTATACGTATCATGCGCCACGTGGTCGCGAAATTACGAACATGAAGCACCAGATGATAGTTCGCACGCCAGTTCCTCGAGCTTCTCGGCGGATCAGCGCGCTGGGCCAGTTCGTGCACACAGCAAAGTTCCCGTTTCCAACGCGATGGGCTACAAGGACATTCAGCATCGCGACGGACAATCGCTAGCGTCGACTTGTTCTCCAATGTCTAGGCTCGCCTCTACATCGGCGCCACAATTGGGCCCCCCAACGCAAAGAAACCTCCTACAAGTCCCGATCTACGAACACATCTCTGTCCGTAGGACGAGAAGTTGCGCACAGAGGTGAATACAGTTGAAGAAAAACAACGGTCCGCAAGTGCAAGACCCCGCATGACAATCTGGCAAGGACGGGAAAAAGTAGCAGCCGGAGCAAGAGTGCCAGTAGGCGGCAGAAGTACGAACATCGGCGAGACGCGCACGTCGTCTGACGGATTTGACGATGCAAATGTCGTGCCGCCTTCAAGCCGCAAATGCCGGGCCACCTTCAAGCAGGCTCCAATGATGAAAATCCGCAGTCGAGCTATCGGCAGCAAGAAAGATGCTTGATTCGGACCGGCTAGTCCGCGGCGTGGCCCCCCCGTGATGAACCGGGCCAGTTTCAACCCATACTGAATTATGCGAATCCAGGGTCAATCAATACCCAAATTTGGTGGAGTTTGGGTTCGGTCGATCCGCGACTCTGCCCCGTGACTGCGGTAGTGATGCATATTCTGGGCCACCTTCAATCCAGATCAATGGTGCACATGTCGGGCCCGTCTGTCTGCGGATTTGATAATGTAAGTCTCGGGTCTGATTCAATGATGCAGTTTTTTGCAGTGCCGGCGTTGCCTCGGATTGAATCACACCTTGTCGGGTCGAATTGCACGTGGATGATGTAGTGCAGAATTCGGCTTGGTTATCCCTTGAGAGCCAGGCACACTTCGCGTGCCTCGCAGCATCTCGGCCCAAGCGCTCCCCCGTCGAAGGCTCGCGATACGACAGGCTACGGTGATCTCGTGGTGCGAATGCGGGGGGGATTTCACCCTTAGCAACAACCACCGGTGCGGTGCCGGAGGCACTAGTAAGTCCAGTCATGACGTTGGACGCGCACCATGGTTATTTGAACAAACCGCGGGGCGTCAGTTATCGTTGCCGTTGCCCCGCCGAGTGTTGGGCATGATACTGCCAAGTGCGATCAGGACAACGCTTGCTTGGCCCTCAAAGGTTGTCTGCAGCGGGGCGCAGGCTTGACAGCAATCGGTTGCACACCCAGCCCCGGGCTCCCGTCCAGAAGCCTCGCAGCCCTACAGTTGCCTCTGCAGGCGGAGAGGGTGGGCCATCTGCGCAGGCTTCACCAGCGCGGGGCGAAGAGGATGGCCTCGCTGTTCTGGCTATGACCTCACAGCTTTCTGGGCGTCCTTGGCGCTGGCGCGCGAGCAGCCCATCCGGTGCGTGCCGCCGCCTCCGCCCCGCAGCACATGTAGAGGCCCGGAGGTGATGTTCTTGCTGCCGCAAGGTCCAGGGCCAGGGCGCACTTGGGCTGGTATCGAGGCCAGCGTCGAGTGTTCGACGGACGGCCCGGGGATTGCGTCAAGAAGCGGGCGCTCGCTATAGGGACCGAGCGCATGCGTCCCCCGCGTGGGTGGAGGGAGATACACGTCGAGGAGACCACGGCCCTCATGGAGGAGGGCAAAGTCGACTATTTGGCTACTGGCCATGCGTTGCCCCGACAGTGCTACCCTTCCATTTCGGGAGGCGCACGTGAAAACGCCAAGTGGCGATTCGTTGGGACGCAGCTAGGCATCACCGAACTGGCATCTCAGCTCACGCGGGCTTGCATTCGTGCGGCGCGACCACGTTCACACTTGCACGAGTGCTCAATTCAGGGGCGGATGCGCACACAGCCACAGCGTTGCGGCCGCGGCAGTTCACGGTGCGGAAGCAAGGTTTGCAGCGAATCGGCCGCAGGCAACCATGTGACGTTGTTGGCCAGTGGTAGTCATTATTTGTATTGCCGCAGTTAAGTGTGCACCCAGAGTTGGGGCTGGGGGAGGGGCAAGCGCAGCTGCAGCCGCCGCTCGAATTGCGCCAGAGTGGTTTCTCGCTCATCTAGGCGTTTGCGTGCTCACAAGAGTGCCCTGGCCTCGGAGTGGTAACTGCTCGGCCAGCTGCGCTTGTTGGCTCACGCAACGGAGGAATGGGCTGCGTGCCTCTTTCGCACACTTGCGATCTCATGCTTGATCACTGGGATGCGGCTTCCGGGCCACCCGGGCCGTAGAGAGCCCAAAGTGAGTTGCGCGCAGGCGTTGCGCTGCGTGGGCGTCGTCCTTCGCGGCCCCGTCGCTCTGGCCCTCGTCGCTGGGGCCTCGCCGACGACGGCCAGGACGGCGACGAGGACGAGGACGGGATCTGCTCAGGGCCCCGTCCCTGTTGCGACTGTGCTCTGCGCCTCTCCCCGGCCACGGGCGGGGGGCCGTGCACAGCGCCACGGTGCGCTGCATGCAGCCCCCGCCGGGGCTCGTCTATGGTCGTGGCTCCGGGGGGGGGCGGGAGGAGGGCGCCCACCCTCTCCGTCGCAGGACGGAGCCGGCCGCGGGAAGTGGCGGGAGAGGCGCGACGGCGGAGGGGGCAGGGCCAGAGCCGGCCGCAAGGAGAGGAGGGCGAGAAGGTGGGGGGGGGAGGGGAGGGACGAAGACGAGGAGGTAGAGGGAAGCAGGACAGCAGGAGCTGGAGCAGGTGGAGCCAGGAGGGCCAGAGGAGAGCAGAAGAAGGTCAGGGGCAGGAGAAGGACGAGGATCAACAGAGTCTGAAGAAGCAGGAGCGGAGCAAGGGGAGCAGGACGGGGAGGCGGAGCAACAGAAGTAGTCAGCAGCAGGAGCAGGAGGAGGACAGGATTCCTCCGCCTCCTCCGCGTCGCCCACGTGCATAGTTTCCGTAATTACCCTGCTCTTCGTTATTGTCAAGAGGTTGAAATAAGGAACGATCGTTTGGGGTTCACGATGAGCCTTGTTTTTTTCTGGCCGTTCCTGAGACCTACGTCGGAAGACTTTTCCGTGGCAGAGGTTCGCCGTGGCCAGAAAAGCCCCTTCCTTCCTTATTTGGCGCCCCTTATGGCAGCACGATGACTGTGCCTTCCTCCGCCCCCCCCCCCGCCCCCCAGCTCCGGCTGGGAGGTCCTACCCTGCGCCGCTCTCTCTCTCTCTCTCTCCCTCTCTCTCTCTTTATCTCACTCTCTCTTTCTCTCCCTCGCTACAGCCGCCCTCTCTCCAGCTGGGAGGTCCGATCCCAGAAAGGCGCCCTTCTCTGACGCCCGGGCCGCCGGCGCCTGCAGCCCCAGCACCATGCCTCACCGTGCGCTCCCTGATTGGGCACCGACGGCCGCCGTTGTCGGAGGCACAGCGGCGCTCATCCTGACCCTGAAGTATCTTGACACCAAGAAGCCAGCCAAGGGCGGGGAGGCCAAGAAAGCAGTCAAGGCAGCCAGCGGCAAGCATGAGAGCCACGAGGCGGGCATCAGCGTCAAAGAGTCCCAGGAGCATCAAGTAGAGAAGTACATCAAGGACGTGGGAGCCAAGTGGGAGGCGAAAGTCAAAGCTGAGGACATCAACAAGGTTGGCGACCTGAGCAAGTACCTTGCCTTCCAGGGTGAGTACAAGACCTCTTTCGCCGCACGGCCCGACGTGGGCGAGGGAGTGCTCGTGAAGGTAACCGATTGGAAGCTCCTCACCCCCGAGGATTACGATCGCACTTGCTTCCACGTCGAGTTTGACATCGCAGGCACCAGCATTGAACATTTGTGCAATGGCGCTCACGGCACGGCCCTGTCAGTCTACTCCACGAACGGCGTGGATAAGGTTCAGGAGTTCCTGAAGGCGATGAAGCTCGATCCGCACGCAGTGGTCCCAATAGATGAGATCGCGCCACCAGAGGAGGAGAGAAGGAGGGGTGGTGAGGAGGGGGAGGAGGAAGAGGTAGGAGGAGAATGCGGAGGAGGAGGATGAGGATGAGGGACGGGAAGAGAGTAGGGGTAGGACGGCATGACCGTGCTCACTACCTTGGAGAAGTTGTTCACCCAGTACTTGGATTTGTTCGGGAAGCCCACCCGTGAATTCTTGAAAAAGCTGTTCCCATACGCTGTGGACATCCAGGAGAAGGTTGCGATTGCGGAGTTGACTCTCGAGCGGAAGATGGAGGAGTTCCAGGACAGGCAGGCTCGGGCGCTGACTTACGCCGACTATTTCTTGGAGTTCGCATCCTTGAAGATCCCAGTCGATAAGTACGTGGAACTGGCGCCGGGATGAACATCCGTTTTCTCCACACCTCGCTGTTCTTCCCCCCCTCCATTTGTTCCCTGCTCCGCGCATCCTCTAACACGGTCTACCCGTGATGCCCGTCATGTCTCCCTCATTTGCCGACTGTTCCTCATGAGCCTCTTTCCCGCTGTTCTAGCCGGCCGCTGTGCAGTTGATCGGGAGTTTCTGTATATGGAGGAAAGGGCGTGTGCTTGTGAGCGAGAGGGAATGACAGGAAGGCGGTGGCATCCAGCCCCTCCCGCCCCCATGCCCGCAACCTCACCTTTTTCTCCTTATCCTCCCAGGAAGTCTCGTGAGGTCCCCGGAGGTCGTTCCTCCTCCGCCTCCCCCTCCTACTCCTCCTCCTCCTCCTCCTCCTCCTCTTCCTCCTCCTCCTCCTCCTCCTCCTCCTCCTCCTCCTCCTTCTCTCCTCCTCCTCCTCCTCCTCCTCCTCCTCCTCCTCCTCCTCCCACTCCACCTCCTCCTCCTCCTCCTCCTGCTCCTCCTCCTCCTCCTCAGCCCCGGACTGGGGCACGCCCCGTGCGCCTTGAGGGCCTCCTTTTGGTAGGAGGCTCGAGGGGCTGGTCTTCCCGAGGACGCCCCATGCGAGGGCGCCCGTTTGGAAAATCGTCGCCGGATGTCGTCGCGAGGATCGGGACAAAATCGGATCGGGATAACTCGAAATCTCTGAGAATCGCCGGGTTTGGAGGATGGATTGGGCGCCGCGGCCGCTCCAGAGCGTTCCAGAACGCCCTGAGAGCGCTCTGGAACGCTCTGGAACGATCAAGGGGGTCTTCGGGGGTGGACAGGCTTCCTGCCATGACACGTCGATTCGCGAATTGGCCGTTTTCGGTTCGCGAGGGGGCGTCGCGGCCGTCCTTTCAGCGGGCCCAGGTCCGTCGGTTTCGGTCCCAGGCCGTTTTCACTAGAGGGTGGTTTACTCTAAAGGGAGGTTTGTCCACCGCCGAGGTCTGTGGAACATCCTTGGGGAGGCTTGGCGGGCTTGCTTTCTCAGGATGTCCCATGCGAGGGCGCCGGCTCGGAATTCGGCGCCAGATTTCTTCCGGGTCGCCCAGGAACGGAACAGGGGGCCCTCTGAGGGTCTCCTTGGGGACGCTCGGGGGGCTGGTTGTGCGCCAGTTTGGAATTTGTCGCCGGACGTTTCGGATTCCCTGGACGCGGAACAAGAGGGTCTCTGGAGCCTCCTTGAGGCTCGGGGGGGCAGTTTTGTTGAGGATGTCCGGCTCAAGGGCACCGGTTTGGAATTCGTCACCAGATTTCCCGGATTCCTTGGAAACGGAACAAGTGGGAGCGGTTTTGTGAGGATGTCCAACGCGTTGGCGCCGGTTTGGTGTTCATTTCCAGATTTCCAAACTCTCCCAGAATCCCCCGAAACGGAACAGGGTGCCCTCTGAGGGTTCCCTTGAGGAGGCTCGGGGGGCTGGGAAATGCGTCGCCAGATTTCGAGGATTCCTTGGGAGCGGAGCAGGGCCTTCTTGGGGAGGCTCGGGGGGCCGGTTTTCGAGGATGTCCCGCTCGAGGGCGCCCGTTTGGAAAATCGTCTCCAGATTTTTTGGGTTTCCCAGATTTTCCAGACACGGAACAGGGGATTTCCCAGATGTTCCAGACACGGAACAGGGGGGCGGTTGGCGGGCCCATTCCTTTGGGGGTCAGGACGACGTGAGTCCTGAAGACGAATTGCATCAATTGTTTTGGCCTAGTATTGATATCGCCCCTCCAAGTCCCCTTGACCTCTTGGCTCAAGCCGTCTGGCTCAGGCCATATTGGGCCGCAGTGTTTGGCCCAGTTGCTCGTTCGAGTGTCAGTTTCATCTAGTGCGGTCATGCTCGCCAAGCTGGCAAATCGTTTGCAACACGCGCTCTATCGCATCTTACCCTGCTGCTCCGCGGGCACACCATGGCACGCGCGCGCAGGACCAGGCATGACACATGAGGTGCGCAGACAAAGACAGCCCGCATTACACCACATCATCGAGAGCATTCTCACGGACGACTGCGACGAGGTGTACGTCAAGGGGATGGAAGCAGACGTCATTGTTTCCACCTTGCCCGAGTCCGAAATCCCATCGCATTCAAAGAAATATCCAGGCGAAAAGGGCGCAGCGTGGGTGCAATGGCGTGACCCTTCGCAGGGCAACAACCTTCGAGGCGGTGCATGGGTGTTTGCACCCTCTGACATCATCGACCCAGACGCTTGCATCTTGTACGTTCATGGGGGCTCTTTCTATAAGTACCACCCCTTGACTGGCGCCTACGACGTCTTCTGTTCCCGAGTGGCGAAGCGCACCGGCATGGTTGTAGTTTGCCCCGACCATCTCAAATCTCATCTAGGGCGGTCGTACTTAGCCAAGGAGATCATTGCGCAGCTCCTCCAAGACTTGAAGTGGCTAAGCATCATGGACCCAGTCAGTCAAGGCCCCCGATCTTCCCCACCAAAACTGTTTCTGATGGGGGACTCGTCAGGGGCCTGCCAAGCATTGTCCTTGTTGTTGCTAGCTGCTCGAGAGAGCCAAGAGATTCTGCCCCTGATCAAGGCGGTGCTCCTTTCCAGCCCTTGGCTCGACATGTCGTGCGGGAGCCCATCTTACATCAGCAACGCCTATGGCCCAATCGGGCACACGGGCGATGTCTGTTGGCCGAGACCCGCACACCTCCACCCGATCCTGTCCAGGGCGTGTGCCGAGAAGTACCTCGGCTCGGAGGCGCTATTCCGGGACCCCGTGTTCAGCCCGTATTGGCTCTGCAGGGAGGAGGGCCGCGAGCTGGCGGAAGCTTTGGCGCAGCACGACATCGCGATTTGGTTGCTCACGGGAGCCTCGGAGGTGTTGGCTGGAGAGGTTCTAGACTTCACGCAACGGCTCGCGCAGCGGATCCTCGTGGAGACGTGGCTCCATGAAGGCATGTTTCATGATTTCATGGGCTACGAGTCGCCGATTGCACCATTTCCCAGCCACATTGCGGCCTGGGATGAGATGGAGAGGTTCATGCAGGCAGTGCAGACCGACCCAAAGAGCATCCGCAGGGGAGTCAACTACTACATCGAGCCTTGGGTTTAGCTTCGCGGAGCTCCGGGCGCACACTGTGATGCGGGCCCGATGCATTTTGAGAGCATGTGTGCCCAAATTCTACGCTGCCGCGCTGCAAGCGACAAAGTAGAGCAGGCTTGCGCAGTCGAGTTTGTGTATGTTCTCATAAGCTTGATCAGGATGCCAGATGAACCTTCAGCATGAGGTAAGGCTTTGGAGCTTGACACGACGACATCGTTCTCGTCTGTGGTGGTCCGTGTTGTTAGCCATATCCTTCGCGTGGTGCCAGCACCAGCGGGGCGTTTCAAGATCGCAAAGTGCACAGACTTAGCCTGTCAATAATTCAAGTGCAGGTTTGGTGGTTAGTCCTGACGCCGACAATTTTGCAAATACTGGGCAGCGGTGGTAGTTACGGCGCAAAGCTGTCTTGAGAGCATTCGTTTTTTTCCACACTAAGCCCAATTCATCTGCAGCTGTGTATGCACAATGGCATTGGAGCGGTTTGGACAATCAGCAAAAAGAATCCGAATTGGATAACAAGTTGCCCAACACATTGTGGACAACCACTCACCACCACATTTCAGCCTTGAAGAAGCGCTCTAGGTACGATGGCGCCGGAGTGTATGTGGGTATGTCTCACGGCCATCTGCGCAACAAATGCGAAGTTCACGTTGCGCTTCCCGCTTCGTGGAATGTTGTCAAAGTGCGGGCGAAAGCAAAACCTTGAGAATACGGGTACGGGACAACGTGTTTGCATTGTCTGCCCATCCATGGCAAGAGCCAGTGCAACATAGCTTGTGGGCGTGAGCCCCATTCCGAAACGCGCATGTCGGACAACAAGTGCCCATCCCCCGGCCACCAATGGCAAAACCAAGCAGGCAACGCACATTGCTGTTCTAGCACTTCACACACAATGTGGCTCGCGCCGCGAGCGCCATTTTGAGACACTTAGGGTGACATGTTGCCCTCCCCCACCCAGCCCACCTGCCACCCGTCGAACAATAACTAGATGAAGTAGACAACGCGCCCATCCCGTTTAGCAACATGCTGGACGCTTCGTGCATCACACCAGCTCATGCAGAAACGACGCCTACAAGAGCTATCTGGAGGAGGAGCGTAGGTACCCATGTAGTGAAGTAGAGATGCCATCAATGGTGAAGGTAGAGACTTTGGGGAGCTTCTTTGTACCTATTTGGGTACTCTCTCGGGGCGGAATACAGCTAAAATTGGAAAGATTAGGATACAAGGGGAGAAAGCGGAGGAGGAGGCTGAGGACAAGGGGATGGGAGGAGAAGGAGGAGGAGGAGGACGAGGAGAGGGGGAGGAGGAGGAGGAGGACGAGGAGGAGTAGCGAGAAGAGGCAAAGGAGGCCTTTTGGAGCCATCTTAGCGCCATGTTGTATGCTTTGACGGACCTCTGAGGAGTTTCTTGGGGCTCTTTGCGGGGGTCTTGGGGGAGAATGGCCTATGCGGGGGCACTGTTGGGCGCCTCTTGGGCGCCCTCGGAGCTCTCTTTGGGGTCTCTAGGGCCCCTCTTGGGGCTTTTGTGGGCCGTCTTGGAGCCAGCTTGAGGCCTCAGAAGCCCATCGGATTCGAAAAGGCGAGAGGCAAAATACGATGGTTGTCCTTAGGATGTTGAAGTCTCGTTTGGGGACTCTTGCTCAAGTCGGAGTGCACTTGGTATCGTCTTGGGGCTGCCTTGGGATGCCTTGAAGGTGCCTCTGAGGCTATCTTGAGCCATGTTGACGTATATTGGGCAATCTCGAAGATCATCTTGCAGCATTTGGGGCCCTCTCAGAGCCATCTTGAGCCATCTTGGACACATTAACCCGTCACCCCCCCCCGTCCACTTCTTCCGATGTGAAACTACTTCCGTAACATGCACGCGCCGATGTGAAACTATTTCCTTCCTACGATTTAGCCTCCTTTCGTCCCCCCTCCGGCCCCTCTCCCCTTTGCCCTCCTCCTACCCCGTTCACCCATTCCCTTTTATCTCATACTTTTGTTGATTTTCCCCAGAAGCCTGTCTTCTGCCCTCCCTTCTTCATGTTTCCTTATTCGCCCCTTCCCCCAAGGCGCCCGGGAAGGACAAGTGAACGGGACCAGGTCGGACCAGGTTGCTGGGCAACGTCGGGGATATAGTCCTGCGCATTATTATCCTGATTATCCCTCTGCCTGCCCCTGCCCTTCCTCGCCTTCTCCTCTTCAACATCTTCCCCTCCCCCTCTCCTCTGTCCCTTTCTCCCGCCCCGCCCCTCCCCCGCTCCATGCCTTCGCTCTCTCCGTCGTCCCCCACCCATCCTTTCCTCCGCACGTCCCTTTGCCCACCCCCGCATCGTACCAGGAGGCTGGATACACATGACGTGGCCGGCCTGGGCGACAGCTGGATACACATGTGGCCAGATGCCTTTTCAGCGCTCGGCCCGTCTATGGCCGTGTATTCCGGACTTGCGCATTTGGTATCCAGCGCGACATGTGAATCCAGCCATGTGTGTGTTCCAGGTTGCTGAGACACCCCTCCCTCCATCCATCCATCCGCCTACCCCCCCCCCCCCATGGCTCCCCAAGTACTTACGCTCCACCTGTAGAGGTCTCACCCTTTCGGCGCGAGAGGGCATGTGGCCATCATGCGCGCTCCTGCCAGGTCTCAGGGATTCCTCGGGAGGTCAGTTGGTGGTCCTCGGGAGTGCCTCGGAGGTTTTTCGGGGTCATTTAGTCATCGCGTTGCGTTGCTCCGGATGTGTTCCGCTGATGTCGTTTTGGTCTGACATTGAGTTCCGCTGGTGTCGTTTCTTTGGATCGGCTTCGCAATGCATGTGACCCACGGGTGATGCTGATGTTGACGACGATGGGGACGATGATGATTGGGACGGATGGCGATGAGGACGGCGGCAAAATGCATGATGTTGATGAGAATTGGGTATCGTGGTGATGATGATGGGGACGGATGACGATGAGGATGATGGGGACGAATGATGATGATGTCGATGTTGATGATGGTGATGGTGATGGTGATGATGATGATGATGATCATCATCATCATGTTTGAGACGGTGATGAGGATCGGGACGGTGGTGATGAGGACGGCGGTGGCGGGCATTGTGAGGCGGTGAGGCGTAGGATGACGAGTACGATGAGGATGGAGAGGATAATGAGGGTGGCACGGATGAGGGGGGGATGGTGATGGCGATGACGATGAGGAGGAGGGAAGGAGCAGCATCAGCAACAATAGCAGCAGTCGTAAAGTTTGCCCTGAGAAATTCCATCGACAGCATTCGGTATCGCGCACATCTGGCGGTTATCGCAAGTCTAACGCTCGCTGCTGGTCGACGTCGAGAGGCTGCTGCCACTACAGTTTAGCGTGATACCTAATGTTGTCGCTCGAACTTCTTTTGGCCAACCTCGTTGTATCAACCGTGTGATTAAGCTCAGCAGCAGTGGCAGCAATCGTAGTGTTAGCAGCTCCTGACGTCGACAAAGCTTTGGGCGTCCGAAGAAATGACTGGCTAGTGACCTTGTGACTTGCCTCTAGGTGGCTCCCTCTGTCGAAAGGCATTTCTTCGGGCCCTCTTGGAATCCATTTCGGACGGCGTCCGTCCCCGACGAAGCCCATCAGTGCACCTGACCAGAGATCGAGGCGACCTTGGCTTTGCATCACGTTCTTTGTATTGCCTCGATGCATCTTGGAAGTTTGGTTCGATGCATCTTTGCCCCGCGCCAACGAGTGAGTCGATAGAACCGTGGCCGAGACCTGACAAGATCTATGTATAATGACTTGGACGGATTTAGCGTAGTATATAATACACGAGTTAACATATCATATGATCTAAACGCAAGATCCTGTGAACCTCAGGGTGATCCGGCTGATCTGGCTGATCCGGATCCGCGTATGATCCGGTTGATCCGACTGATCCGTTTGGTCCGTTTTGATCCGGCGGATGCGATTGATCCGGCTGAGCCGGTTCATCCGGTCGATCCGGCTGATCCTGTTGATCCGGTTGATTTGTCGGATTTGGTTGGTCCAGTTGACACGGTTGATCCATTGATCTGGCTGATCTGATCCTTTTGATTCGGCTGGTCCGGTTGATCCAGCCGATCCGGTTGATCCAGCTGATTTGGCTGAGTGGTTCATTGATCCGGTGATTTTGTGACCCAATTTGGAGAAAAGAAAATCTCTAGTCTGGATGCATCCGGGGATCCTGGGTGGGTAGCAGCCTAGGGGGGGAGGGGCACGGGGGGTCCCAGGTCAAAATTCCAACCCCCTCGGGGGTCCCGGGGCCCACAAAGGCCCCATGACGGCCCAAGAGCGCTCAAGAGGTCCCCAAGACGGTCCAAGAAAAACTCCAATCGCCGAACGATCGACCCAAGACGCCAAACATGGCCTCCGCACGGCCTAAGAGGCTTCCAATATGCTCGAAGAAGCTTCCAAGAGCACACCAAGAGGGCCCCAACAGACAAAATTCAATAAGTTCCTTTGGGTGTTTGAAAGATGTTGGCGTTCTCGCCTTCTCGGCTTCTCGACGCCCCAAGACGGCCCAAGATGCCGCCATAATCGCCCCAAAATCGCCAATGACGGCCCAAGCCCGACTCAAGAGGCCCCCAAGATTGCCCAAGAGGCATCCAAGACGGCCCAAGAGGCCTCAAAGACGGCGCCAAGAGAGTGTCCAGACAGGGGACCCGAACGAACATGTCGAGCCCGCGGCCCTGAGAATCTCCAGGAGGCCCCCAGAAAGAGGCCCCCAAGGCCCCTGGACAGCCCCAAGAGGCTCCCAAGAGGCCAACAAGGTGTTCCCACGAGGCAACACAACTGCCCCCCAGAGGCCTACGAGAGCGCTCCGAGGAGACCCCACGAAGCATCCCTGAGGACTCTGACCCACGTCAGCGTAGTCGTCGCCACCGCTGCCGTCGTCGCTGAACCCCTTCAGGGTCGACGGCACCAGCCGCAAGGCCTTCGCCATGCGTGTCGTGAAATAATGCCGGATGCCAAGCCGAAATCGCGTGGCGGCTACGCCCCATAATGCCACTCTGAAGGGCAACAGCAGTCGGGAGGAAGAAATAGACAGAGACACGAATAATAGTCGATTCCAAGGAACATGTAGTGAGAATGTGGGGAATGGAGGGGGCGACGAACACCCAGAAAACACGCAAAACATAGGAATCATGGGATCTGTGCATGCCTCTGTGTGTGTCCCTGGGCCCCTCCGAGCAGGGGTCTCACCCGAGCGTTCGGCACAGCGGGGCCCCCGCCGTGCTCCTGGACGGGCCTGTCCTGACCGGTCCCTCCCCCGGCCCGTCCCCCTCCCCCATGGTGTTCGCCCTCCCTCTGTCCTTTCCATCCGTCCCTCCCCTCTCTCCCTCCTTCCCTCCGCCTCTTCCTCCTCCCCCTGCTTCGCTCGGTTTCTCCGGTCCTGCTTTCCGTGCTGTTTCCGCCTCTCTCACAGCCTCCGGTCCCCCCCGTTCTCCCCCGAAGCGTCGCGACGTCTGTGGTCCCACAATTGGGTATTTCGTGTCCAGGCTTAAATGTTTGGGCAGTGCATCAGCATCTGGCGTTCATCGGACCTGAAGGACCTGAATTGCTCTCCTGTCCACATCTTGGGTGAACTAGGCGTTGGTGGAGATCTCCCCTCTTTTGTTCCTACGCCCTGGCGCTCCCTGTCTCAGGTGCCCACGATCAAGCAGAGGGTCTACTCGATTTGCTCCTCGAGTGACTACCGGCCGGGGAAGTGTCAGCTGCTGGTCTCGGGATGCCGAGACCGCAAACTCGTCGGCGAGGGCCAGCCTCTGGAAGGAAGAGAGATGAGGAGGCGGAGGAGGAGGACGGCGACGACGAGAAGGGAGAGGAGAAACAGCTGCGCAAATACAAGTGTGTGAAGGTCCACGCAGATGTCTTGGATCTGCGCCGGGCCTCCCTTGCGGCGCCTCTGGCCTCCCCCATGGGAGCACTTCGAGCGCCAGGCAGGGGTGCCCAGCCAGAGCCGCGACGTCCGCGCAGGCCTTCCAAAATTTGCGTCCATGGAGAAGTTGCTTTTTCGAAGCTGTCCAGTCGAGGAAGGAAGGTAGTCATCCTCATGCTTGCCCCTCGTCCTGGTCCCCCCATCACCCTCCCCCGCAGACGTGCGAATCGCACCGCCTGTGCTGCTTGAGCTGCCCCGAAGGTCGTGAGGGAGGACTGGCAGGCCAAGGGGGGCGACACCAAATTTGGCCTCTGCTCCAGCTTCCTCACGTTCGTGCGGTCCGGCCAGTGGTGCGTGGCGCACTCGACGCACTCCGTGATGCACATGCCCGAGGCCCGGAGCGGAATTTCTGATTCAAGAGGCTTACGCCATTATTTCGCCGACCCCCAGAAGAGGCGGGGAGTCCACGGTTGAGGCGTCGTGGGCTTCTCGGGCACTATTTGGGAAGTCCTGTGGGCGTCTTGGGAGGTGTTCTCTTCTGGGCCTCTTGGGTGCCTCTTGGGGCTTATTGGGGGCCTCTTTTGGGCCGCCTGGGGGCTTTGGGGGGCTTTTGGGGGGTCATTGGGGGGATCGCATTCTCATCCTTGCCTCTCTTGCGGCCCTCTTGGGGCGATCTTGGGCCGTCCTGGCAGTTTTGGGGCGGTATACGGGGCCTCCTGGGCCGTCTTGGAGCGTCGGAAGCTCGAGAAAACAATGACCCCAGAAACAGCGAAAAACCTATGTGGTTTTTGCCTCTCGGGGCCCTATTGGGAAGGCTCTTGGGGCATCTCTAAGGCATCTTGGGGCGTCTTGGATCCATCGTAAGCGTCTTGGGCCCATCGTTCTGCGTTTCGGGACCGTCTTGGAGCGTCTTTGAGGGAGACCACGGAAGGCAGATTTGCAAGCTCCGGAGTCTCCGGGGGTGCGCCGACGAGCTTGGAATCCCCCCCCCTTGACCGAGATTTTGGACCCTGGGGGAGAGGGGAAAGGGGGAGAGGGACAGGCAATCATCTCACACGCCTTCTCACCCCCAACAGGCGGGGATCGGCGGACTCCCGAACCCGCCCACCGCCTCCGCCTCCTCCTCCTCGTCCCCACCCCCTCATCCTCGCCATCCACCGCCTTCTCCTCCACCTCCATAATTAGCCATTTTGGATCGTCCCACGCTCTGAGTAAGTCCAAATCGGCTCCGCTCTTGTACATGTTCTCCATATGGCGTCGGCTGATGCCCGCAGGTCGCTGCAGGCCGCTGCTCCTCCTCTGCGTGGGCGAGGGCGCTGTTGCTGTTGCTTCGTCCGCTTCATGGGCACCCAATGGTCCGCTTCGCCGGAGTGATGGTAATGCTCATTAGCGCCAACATCAGGATGTACGATATCTATGTGCAACGTGTCATGGGCTTCGTCGGTGCTCTCCCTCTGCATGTGGGGCGCGTCTTCCTAGCGAACATTTCTCCAACATGCAGGTTGTCGCCTCGCCTCGCATTTTCGTGGACGGGCCCTCTGTTCACGAGCTCGGTATATCGCCTTGTTGGGGCTCCTGCGGCACCTGACGCAGGTGAGAACACACATAGCGAATGTTGTGCAACACCGTGGCTACATGGCCTGTTCACCCTGGAGGTCCTGGTGCTCTTCGCTGAGCCGCACTGGTGTAGTCGAGCGACGGTTGGACAACCACCTGAAAGAAGTGGAGCGCATGCTGTTTGCCCGGTCTTTGTTGCCGTATCCGTCGGGTGCATGTGTATTTGCCGATGCCTCTACTCAAGTGCTGAATCGAACGCAGAGGCGAAGAGCTCGTGCTCGAGCTCATAACCTAGCTGTGCCTCGTCGGTCAGATACGGAGCCGCCTCAGATCAGCGACGCGGTGGAGGCTATTGGTGGCATGGCCTGGGACGTACGTTCCCAAGAGGCCGTAGGCGGTGTTGCTGCTGAGCCACATCCTTTACATCCCAAAGTTGGCCCTCCCTGTTGCGGCAGTCGGGCCAATCCCACATGGTCCAGTTCATATTGTTTGTGATTTCGTTCGGCCGGATCTGACTTTACACGTTCCTGATTCTCGCCATCCTCCCGCTGTTGCGCTGGGCGGTGTGGCCCAGTCTCACAGCGAAGTTTATCCTCGTCAACATACTCCTGTCAATGGTGGTCGTCACATTCACGCTTCCCGTGAGCCCGTTCGGCAGGACCCGGTTTTTGGTGTTCAACTCGTTCCTGAGTCTCGCCATCCTCCTGGTGCTTCTTGGTTGTCGGGTTCGGGCGCACGGACTTGTGAAGGTCACGGCCCTCAACGGAGAGGTAGGGCAAGCCGAGAAGCGCGATGATGGTGGTGGCGACCGTCTTCGGATTCGCTTGGACTGGCCTCATGGTGATCGTGCGACTCGGGCGCATGATCTGGAGCCAGTAGTGGGTACCGATTCGGAGGAGTACGGGGACTTCGTACGTAGCGGTCTGAAGTGTGCTGTTGAGACCATGTCGTGGACGAGGCGGAACTCTTTGTAGGGACTGCTGTTTCCAAGCAAGCGCGTGATCCAGAAGGAATGATTTGGCAGACGGCCGCCGAGATCAAGTAGATGGACGTTGCAGAGCAGATTGTGGCGTCGCATTCCTCATCTGATTCAGCACGTTCCAAGCCCGCAGTGTCTTCTCCGCCTTCGGTGTTTTCGCCGATTGCGGCCTTGTGCCGAGCGATTACTCCTAATCCAGCGTCGGCTTCGTCCATGGGGGCCGCAACAAAATATGACAAGTCCTCAACTTCGACTGCTCCGTCCCGAATGTCTTCTTGCCGCTCAACGTCTGTTGAGGGCGTGGCTGTCGTGTCGCTCCCCCAGTCGCCGCTGGAGTCTGCCCAAGGTGTACGCATGCTCCTCCTCCTCCTCTTCCTCCTCCTCCTCCTCCTCCTCCTCTTCCTCTTTGCCCCCCTCGTCCTGGTCCCTGGTCCTCCACCACATATTCTTCGTCTCCCTCAAGGTCCTCCTCCTCCACCTCGACCTCTTCTTTGTCCCCTCCTCCTCCTCCTCCTCCTCCTCTTTGTCCCCCTCCTCCTCTTCGTTCCCCTCCTCATCCTCGCCCAATTCTGCCCCGTCCTCACTTCGCCGAACTGGTAAGCTCGGGCTCGGCGGCCGAGTCACTCGGCGCCGTCGATGTGCGGCTGCGCACTGCCGTCCGCAGCAGTGCGGTCGTCCTGCTCCCCAGTCTTTCCCCCCTGCCCGCCCCTCTCCGAGCCCGAGCCTCAGCCCTCGACCCCCGCTCCTCGGCATCCGATCCTCGATCCTCGATCCCCGAGCCTCGACCCCCGGATCCTCGAGGGCCGTCGCCTCACGCGGCCAGCTCGTCCTCGATCCTCCTCGACCCTCGATCTTCGCACCCCGGCCCCCGGTCCTCCAGGGCCTGCCGAGAGCGTGCGGCCAGGCGGCCCCGAGGGGCCGCCCGGGCCTCCGGGAGGGCCGCCATGCGCCGAGAAGCCCGGGAGCCGGCGCCGAGGGCGGGGCCGGGGCCCCACTGCGACGCCCTCCGCTGGACGGCGACCGGGCCGAGAGTGCGCGGCGGGCGTCTGGCCGTCAGCTCGCGCGTCTGAGTTCTGTATTGTCCTCGCTAGAAAAGTCGACGCGTCCGTCGGCCTCCTTAAAGAGCCACAGAAATTTTGAATTCAGTTTTTGGGAATACATGTCACCTGTTCTATTGTTGACAATACAGAACTCTGTCGCGCGCGCGCGTCTGAGTTCTGCATTGTCCACAATAGAATGCGCCGGTGTGGTCGCATGCAAATTTGCGCCCGTGCGACGGCGACCGGGCGCGGCACAGATAGATACATAGATGGGCGCCACCGGCGAAGCAAGCCTCCCCCTCATGGATCCTGGGGGGGGCCACATGCGAACCCTACCCCTACCCCCCACGATTTCTGAGGGGGAGGGTGGGGTTCACTTCGTCCGGGAGCTCCCGAGCGAAGTGAGCCCCACCCTTCCCCTTCGGAAATCGTGGGGGGTAGGGGGTAGGGTTCGCATGTGGGCCCCCTATCCTTGGGGGGGGGGGGGCTGGGAGAGCTGGGCCAGCCAGCAGGCACATGGCTCCCGGCACACGCCGGGCGGCTCACGGGATGTCAGGGGTCCGGGCGTGGGTGGTCAGGCCGAGGGTTCAAGAGGAGAGAGGGGGAGAGAGAAAGAGAGCGCGCGAGAGAGAGAGAGAGAGAAGCAATAGGGCGCAGGGGTGGTTGGTGCAGAGAGGGGGGCGATGGGGGTGGAGGAGGAGGAGTTGGAAGAGGATGAGGAGCGCTGAGGAGGGTAAGTAGGACGGCACGGAGTAGTTGTGTGTGCGTCTGGGTGGCAGGACCGCCTCCCTCTTGGGAAGTCGCCCCGAGCAGACCACGCCCGTGAGAGTGACTGGCCTCTTCAAACCTAGTAGACTACGCTCTGTTGAAGCGATCTGGTCGTCAATTCTGACCAGAAGACTACTTCTTGCGGGGATCATTCCGGATCCCAGCGTGGGCCCCAAACAGTGCATGATTGCATTTTGAATGAATACAAGCAGAGGAGATGCAATATACGTGGTGCTATATGTGTTGCCCTGTTTGGAGGAAGTTCTGTGTTGCAAGCGATGTGTCTGTGGCGCGGGAATATCTGTGGTGTCCAACCCATTTTGCGTAGCTATGTGGTGTGAGACAAGTGGTGCAGCATTCGCTGTGCAAGCTGTGGGACAACCTTTGTGGTGCAAGCTATGCGCTGCAAGCTGCATGATGCGTTATTTGCCTGGTGCAAACTGTGCAGGGCATGCTATGTGGTGAAAGCTACGTGATGCCGGCTTTGTGATGCAATACGTGTGGCGCGAGCTACATGATGCGAGCTATGCGGTACACAAAGCGCACTTGGTGCCCACGAGGCGCTCACGGGCGGCCACCAACCTGGCACCAAGCGAAACCCCGCCTTGCCCATCCAGACACTTAGGAGAGAAGCAGCATTGCTTGAGTATGAGCACTGTTTTGGAGAAATCCTTAGAATGGCCTATGCCTTGAGTGGCCGCCCCCCCAACCCCCCACCCCCACCCCCACCCCCACCCCACTGGCACACAGGTTTGACCTGACCTCCTCACCCTCGGGGATGAGGACGACGAGCAGGATGAGATGGAGGAGGAGGAGAAGGAGGCAGGCGGAGGCGTAGGCGCTAAGCCCCTGGCGAGGACAAGAGCGTCCCTGTCTTCATGGCGGGCCTTGGCACAGGCTTGCGGGGATTAGAAAGCCCAAGGGCTTCCCCTCGTCTCGTAATCGTCCCCCTGCTCTGACTGCCCCTCCTCATCGTCCTCCTCCTCCTCCTTCTCCCCCCACCCCCCTCCCACCACCTAACTTCCCATCCCCCTCATCATAATCCTTGCCCCCCCCCCCAACAAAAAAAAACAGGCGACGTGAGTATCTCATCTTCATATTCCCCGCTGCCTGGTGCCCCCCTCCCTCGCCTCTCCTGCTGCTGCTGGTCATCCCTCCTCACTCCTCACCCGTGCACAGACGTGCCCTTGGTCTCGCTGGCACTCGGGACGACACCGCCGCGCCAGCAACCCCATGAACCAACAAGTGATGTGTTGAGATTGGCACGTGCTGCTCAGGCCTGGCCCCCTTCCGCGCCTTCGTGGAGCAGCGGCGGCACGAGAAGTCGAAGGGCATCAACGTTGGCCCAATGACCCTCTTTTTCGGCGGCCGGTATTCCAAGGCGGAGTATTATTATCGCGACGAGTTCGAGTTGTTCGAAAAAGAGGGTTTGGTGAAATGCTGCAACGCGTGGTCGCGCGACACGTCCAAGAAGGTGTACGTGCAGCACAAGATCATGGAGGAGGCGGACGCCATATGGAGGGACCTCGGGATGGAGGGCTCAAAGGGCGCATTTTTCTTGTGCGGCTCGAAGCAGCCAGAGAAGGATGTCTTCGCAGCCATCCTCACGATATTCCAGTCCAAGGGTGGCATGACCGAGGCACAGTCGAAGGCGAAGATGGACCAGCTCCAGTCGGTGGGGCGGTACGTGACGGAGGTCCCCAGAGATCCCCCGCCGCGCCTCTCGGTTCAGAGTGTCCGACTTCTCCCCAAACGGGCCACAACGGGAGGAGCAGTGGCCCTTACCCTCCTGAGGGATTGTCAGCTTCGATGCCCCTCTCAAGAGACCCTCTATGTTGGGGGTTGCCACGGAGGGATACGGAACACGCTTCCCCAAGTTATGGTCGGTCGGTTGCTTTTTCTTATGTTCCATCCCCTCGGACGGGGGAGAGCACGGGGGACGACGAGGAGGGCAGGCAGGGGGAACTGGATGAGAAGCAGTGGGGGGTAGAGGTGTGGGGAGCGGGAGGAGGGGGGCGAGGGCGAGGAAAAGTCGGATGATAAAGGAGAAGGGAAGCAGGTCATCTATGGGGAGGGGCGGGGCGAGGAGGACAACGATGGCCCGCCGTCACCACGGGGGATGGAGTGATAAGGGGCAGGGGAAGGGGGGTAGGACCACGAGGGGCCCATTGCTCACCATCCCCCCTTTCCTTCTTGGGGGCGAAGGGTCCTCCCCCTCCTCCTTTTCTGGATGGGTAAGGATGAGGATGGGTGTGTCCAGGAGAGGGAGTCTCCTTCTTATCCCTGCTTCGCCTGTTCCTCCTCGTCTCTTCCTTCCCCGTCCCTTCTGCTCCCTCATTCCCCCTTCTCTTATCCTCATACCCTTCCCTCTTCATCCTCCCATACGCTCTCGAGGGAGCAGAAGCCGGGGGGTAAAGAGGAGGAGGAGGAGGAGGAAGAGGAGGAGGAGGAGGAGGAGGAGGAGGACCAGTGAACAGCCAAGACGCTGCGGGAAGTACCCCGCTGAAAGACAACCTTTTAATAATCGCCAATTATGCCAAAGCATCATTCCTGAGATTTCAGCGCCGCGAACCAACGTTACTGTCGCATCGTGACGATCCTGGATCGTGCCAGAATGCCGTTCCTTGGATTTCAACATTGCAAATCAACGTGACTGTCGCGCCGTGACAGTCCTGAATCGTGTCAAAACACAGTTTCTGGAACGTCTACCCTTGGAATCCTCGAAACTGCTGTGAACCGTTAAGGCGAATATGCTCGGCGCTCAGGCGAAAGCCACATGTTGAAAACAGCACGCCTTCCACAGGTGAAGCTCTTGCAAACATTTTAGTCGAATGTGCGCTGCGCGGCGCCAAGGCGAGAGCCACCCTTTGAAAGCAACCTGCCCCCCATCCGTGGAACCCTTGCAGACGTTGAAGACGAGTGTGCGTGGCCATGTGGCGAGAGCCACACTTTGAAAACGACCCTCCACCGCGAAGCTGCTGCAGTTTCCAAGGGTCAGGAGTCATGGGTGGCGAGGAAGTCTCGGGCAAAACGCCCGGCCCGACCTACCGACCTATCTCTGGGTGCGACAGGACGAAAGTAGTCAGGAGGACAAGGGATGGAGGAGGAGGGGAAGGAGGAGGAGGAGGAGGAGGCGGAGAAGGATGGAAGTGGTCATTGCTGGGGAGGGGGGGAAGGAACAGTCCAAGGAGGGCGGAGAATTCGGAGCAATAGAAGGAGGAGGCCGAGAAGGAAGGAAGAGGAGGAATAGGAGGCGAAGGAGGTGGCCGAGAAGCAAGGAGGAGGAGAAGGAGGAGGAGGAGGAGCAGGAGGAGGAGGAGGAGGAGGAGGAAGAGGAGGAGCGGGAGGGGCAGACGACGGCGACATAATTACACAAGGGGAGACGGCGGGAGGGCGGGGGGGAGGAGCCTTCCCCGCTCCTCCTCATCCCCCCCCCCCTTCTCCCGCCTGCCCTCTGGAGGAGGCCGGGCACCGGGGGACGAAGGAAGTGGGCGCAGAGGAGGCCGTGCCCCGCCCCCCCCCCTCTCCAGGTCTACTGAGGCGCAGCGGCGCGCCCGGGAGCTCTGGCGCCAGCTCTGGCAGGGCCCCGACCGTCGGGCCTGCTCCCGCCCCCCCCGCACACCTCCTGCCTGGCGAGGACCACGGCCGAGGGATGAGGGGGGGGAGGAGGCGGGGAGAACCAGGAGCAGCAGCAGCAGCAGCGTGAGTGCCTCCCCCGAGGGTGTGGTGGGAGGCCGGGGGAGAGTACCCCCCCTCTGGCCTCGCCCTTCGATTCTCCGGCGCCGTGGTGGATGCCTGGCAGCCTTCCCGGCACCCTCTGAGCGGCGGCCCGCTCAGCTTGCGTTGCCTTTCGCGCTCGCATCCCAGACGGAGTTTGTCATCTCATCTGTCGGGCGGGGGGCAATGGGGGGTGACCTAACTGAGGGGTGAAGAAAAGGGGCCTTCAAGGGGCCCTTCAGTATCCCTTTGGGGCCCCCTGGTGGCTCCAACAGGAGCCCATGAAGGACACCTCGAGGGCCCCCTTTTCTTCCCCCCCCGTTCAGGTCACCCCCGAATTACCGCCCGCCCAAAAATCGGGCCAATTTGGCGCTTGCACCTGTCTTTGTGCTGCGGCATGAAGAGGCGGGTCCAGGAGGAGCAAGGTCTTGGAGGCGTGCGTGTTCGTCTCACAGCGTCGGGCTCCCCGGGCCCTCCCAGGCCGCGTTCGGGATGGAAGAACAGGCACAGACGCAAAGAGTCGTCGATCCCCATGGACAGATAAGAAACTATGGGAATGGAGGGGGAGCTGAAAGCCATGAAAATATAGCAAGTATTGGGAGTCCTGGGGTTTGTGTCTATCTATGTATTTGTGCGTGCCCCTGGGCCCGCTTTACCGATGGGCCGTCAGCGCACTACCCAGGATGCAGAGCCAGTCCCCTGGAGCGCCCCAGGGTCCAGGACCCGTTTCCGCCAGAACCCCGTCCTTCATGCCAAGTTCTCCGTGCTCCCTATTCGGACTTCCCTGTGTGTGTTCGGTTGTCTCCGCGGAGCCGTCCTCGGCCGAGCTTCGCCCAGACGGTCGAACCCGCCTCGGCCGCTTCTGACTCGGAGATTTTTGTTATTTTGGCCTGCAGGGAATTGACCCACGCCAGATCGGCCCTGCAGTATTGAGAGAGTCCATGCTGTGTGCATAGCGCAGTCGGCTGTCATGTGCCCGTTGCGCTCCCCTTGGGCAAAGGACTGCCTTGGGCTCTGCGCGGAAGGGAAAGGAGCCCCTCCAGCATCCCCCTTGCATTTCTCCTTGTCATCTTCATCGTCTAGATCGTTCCTCCGACCTCCAAGTCTGCTCCTCGAACACCTCATGATAATCCCCTCTTGCTAACACGGGTCGCGGACCTCAATGTTAGTTGGCTTGTTTTTCGCAAGCACGCATTCGAGTTGCAGGGTGATTGGCATGCAAGTCGTCGCAGACGCAGGAAGGATGCACCGCGTTGTGATCTGTTGCGTCCCTCGGACTCCACACCAGACGAGACTGCGAGCAGTCAAGACCAGGACGAGACCTCCACCTCTGGGCATGACTTTCCGGAATCCCCCCCCCCGCACAACAGCCCAGCGTACGAGCCGCCGAGGCAGGAGGAGGGGGAGGAGGCGGAGGAGGAGGAGCCAGCCTTGGCCACTGGAGCCCCCCCCCCCCCTGCGCACGGGCCTGCTGCAGCGCGCTGCTCGGGTTGGGTGGGGGCGCTCCGCGGGGGGCAGCATCCGCAGCCCGCGGCAGAACGGCGTCGTCCAGGCTCTCTCCTCGCCCCCGCTCTCCCGCGTCCCTCCTCGCCTCCCCCCCATCTCCCTCCCTCCCTCCTTCCTGCATCCCCATTCCACATCCTCTTCCCCTTCCTTCCTACATGTCTCCTTGTTTTGTTTTTATGCGTGGCAACTCCTCACTCCGTCATTGCCGCCCTGCTTCATCTGCTTCTTCCCTCCTGCGCTCCTTCGAAAGCGCAAGTGCCCTCTCCTTTGGGCTCTGCGAAGCCAGGTGGCCCGTATGTGTCGTATAATCCTCATCCAAACCGGTATTATCCCTGTCCTCCTCGTCCTCCCCCTCCTCCCATCTTCCTCACCATCCTCCTGCTCCTGCTTATCATCCTTCTCCCGCGTAGCCGCTTTGGTTCAAGCACGTCTGTGCGGCTCGGCTCCTGTGGCAGCTCCAGGGGCCCAGAGCCGATCGGAGCGTGAGCAGTTCCCAGCGGTGCCTCGCATGCCTCTCGACGTCGCCTTCGTTGGAGGCCAGATGAGCGGCCGCGCCCTCCTGGCCCGCGCCGGCACCGCGGCCCGCGCAGCGCCGAAGCCTGCGGCTGGCGCGGCTGGCGCGGCGCGCGGGCCGGGGCTCGCCGGGAGCGCGCTGGCGGGCGCAGTCGTGGCGCTGGGCAGCGCGGCGCGGCGGCAGCAGCGGCGCCACCTGGCCGCGCCGCAGCAGGGCGGGCGCTACCGCTCGGCGGCGACGGCCTCCGCGTCGTCGTGCGGGAAGTACGACTACGACCTCTTCACCATCGGGGGCGGCAGCGGGGGCGTGCGCGGCACGCGCTGGGCCGCGTCGCAGTACGGGGCCAAGACCGCGCTGGCGGAGCTGCCCTTCCAGATCGTGAGCGACAAGTTCAACGCGGGGGGCCTGGGAGGCACCTGTGTCATCCGCGGCTGTGTGCCGAAGAAGCTTTTCATCTACGGGAGCCACTTCCACGAGGACGTGCTCCGGAAAATGATCATGGGTGAACAGTGGGGAGCCCCATTCATCTTGCAGATGATTAGGAGGCGGAGGAGGAGGAGGAGGAGGAGGAGGAGGAGGAGGAGGAGGAGAGGAGTGAACTGAGACGGAGGAGGAGGAAGAGGAAACTTGTCAAGGGCAGGAAAAGGAAGCAAGATGAGGACGAGGATGAGGAGGTGAGCATGAGGAGGAGGAGGATGAGGAGGAAGATGAGGAACGAGGAAGAATGAGGAGGGAAGAGGAGGCAAGAAAGGCAAGAGGAGGTGAAGAAGAGGACGAGAGGGAGAGGAGCTGGAGACGCAGGGTGGATGGACGGGAAATGGTGAAGGCCAGAGGGTGCGAGCCCGTGTGAAGAGATGCATGAGGACATCAGGGATGCGGCGGGCTACGGCTGGTCCCTGCCCGACGGCGCCGAGCCGCACCTGGAACTGGGGCAGAGAAGAATGTGCACCGGAATAGTCCTCCCCTTCGTTGCACAGGTCGAGGGGGGGAGGAGTGAAAGAGCGGGTCCTTTGCAATCGTGGGGGGGACACGTCACTACACAAGTAGGCGTCTTTCTGAGCGCCACGCAGGATTGGAATAAGCTCGTCGAGGCCAAAAACGCCGAGGTGACGCGGCTGAACGGCATCTATTCCAAGTTGTTGGCCGGTGCTGGGGTGGAGTTCTTCGAGGGCTACGCTAAGGTCGTGGACCCGCACACCGTTGAGGTCGGCGGTAAAAAGTTCACCGCGAAATACATATGCATTGCCAGCGGCGGGCGGGCATTCAAGCTCCCGATCCCGGGTTGCGATCTGCCCGAAGTGGTCACCAGCGATGAAGCCCTTGCGCTGCCCAAGAAGCCAGAGACTCTTGTGGTCGTCGGTGGAGGGTACATCCCGGTTTCCTGGTAGCGGGGGGGCTACGCCTGGAGGGCGTCAATTTTTTGGAAAGGGCCTGATTCCGAGCTTCTCTTTTGATTCATTACTCCCCGGGCCTCGACTTAAAGGAGGCCAGCGAATTCATTATGCGATAAATGACAGGGTCGAAGAGGGCGGGCGAATTAAAGCATTGAGGATGTCCCTAGCGAAGCGCTGGCTCTTGAAATCCCGATCGATAAAACTCAGGGTGAAGTACACATGTTCGTTTGTTGCGGATGTCTCGAGCGAAACATCTGTTTTGCAGAAAGTGTTGAGGATGCCTCGAGCAAAACACTTTGTTATGTTATAGATTGTTCCCCTCCTGGGGACCAGAATTCTGAGGATCTCTCAGGTGAAATGCTTGTTTTCACATGCCCAGGTCTTGCAAATGTCTCGAGCGAGACGCTTGGGTTCACGCGTCCAGGTTGCCCAGGCAGATGTCTAGCATGAGGATGTGTTGATGGTGTCTCGAGCGAGGCGCTAGTTTTCACGCGTCCAGGTCGCCCAGGCAGATGTCTAGCATCAGGATTTGCTGAGGATGCCTCGAGCGAGACGCTCGGTTTCGCGTGTTCAGGTCGCCCAGGCGGATGTCTAACATGAAGATGTGTTGAGGATGTCTCGAGCGAGACACTCGTTTTCGCGTGCCCAGGTCGCCCAGGCGGATGTGTAACATGAAGATGCGTTGAGGATGTGTTGAACGAAATGCTTGTTTTCACGTGTCCAGGCGGATGTCTGACATGAGGAATTGGGCAGGATGCCTTGAGCGAAACCCTTGTTTTTACGCTTGCAGGTTGCCCAGGCAGACGTCAATGAGTAGGTGTTGAGAACGTCTCGAGCGAGATGCTTGTTTTCACGTGTCCAGGTCGCCCAGGCGGATGTCTAACATGAGGATGCGTTGAGGATGTCTCGAGCGAGACACTTGTTCTCACGTGTCCAGGTCGCCCAGGCGGATGTCTAACATGAGGATTTGTTGAGGTTGTCTCGAGCGAAACACTTGTCGCAGTAGAGTGCGTCGCAGCCAAACCCCGCCCGTCCGTGGGGCGTCCCCTGGCGCGCTGGCGCGTCCCCTGGCGCGTCCCTTGCGACGTTCTGGCGTGACGTGCATTGGCACGTCCTCTAGCACGCCACTCGGTGTGGCGCGTTCACTGGTTCATCCTCTGTCGCGTTTCTTGGCTCGTCCCCAGACGTTTCCCCTGCCCGTTCCGTGGCGGGCCCCTTGCAACGTCCCTTGGCATGGCGTCCTCTGGTAGCCCCACGGCACGCGCCTTGGCACGTCCCATGACACGTCCAGGGCACGTCCCCTGATAGGTCCCCCGACACGTCCCCATGGCGCATCCCGTATTGCGCCCCTTGCGCATCCTGTGGCGCGTCCGTGAGTTTGTGGCCCGTGTCGTGTCGTTCCTTTTCGGAGCTGAGTTTCATTTCGAGGTCGAGTTGATAGAACATCCTCCACGCTTCCACTTCAACCAGCTTTGGGGCAGCAAATATGTGCTCAGGCAGCTCGAGCTTGAGATTCACATCAGTTCGGTCAGGGCTTCGGATGCTAAAGAGGACTCGATCCACAACGTTATAGAGCACAATCGCGTTATGGCACATCGCAATTTAGCACGGCACAGCACAGCACAGCCCTTGGCACAGTACATCAAGATCGGTACACTCAGCATTGCATTTGTTTGTCGCCCAATCAGAGTGCTTGCCGAAAAGCAGGTCCAAACGATGGCGTCAAAATAGGTACGTTTCCATCGCGCTTGGGGCACGTACGGGGCATCTTTCAAGCAGTGGCGAAGCGTCCTGGCTCGCCTATAGCCCTACCAAAAATGTTCTAAGAACCTTTTGTGGTTTCCACGAACTGTTCTTAGAACATGTCTGACTGGAACTGTGTTGTTTTAACACATCGGGTTTATGTTCTAAGAACATTGCTCTTGTTCTTAGAACATGTTTGGGTTCTAAGAACATTTCGTGGTAGGACTATAGGAATGCCGGGACGGTCGGTCCCTGCTCAAATCTTGGGGGCCTTCTGGGTGGGCTTTAGACCGCTCTGCTTGGCCCCTGGCGCACTGCCCCCATGCCACCACGAAGCCAGCATCGCCGTAGAGTTCGCTGGCTATTTCCATGGGTACGGCTCCGAAGTGCACCTCATCTTCCGGGGCGACAAGCCGTTGCGGGGGTTTGACGAGGACGTGAGGGACCACCTGCTGGCGATACTTAAGGCCAAGGGTATTCACGTGCACGCGAATGAGAACCCCCTGTCCATCGAGGAGGCGGGCGCCGGAAAGGTGAAGCTGACGACGGACAAGGGCACCGAGCTGACCGTCGACAACGTGATGTTTGCCACAGGACGGAAGCCAAACAGTGCGGACATGGGCCTGGAGGAGGTCGGCGTGCAGCTCGACAAGCGGAGCGGGAAAGTCCTCGTGGACGAGTTCAGCAGGACAAACGTCGAGTCCATTTTTGCGATCGGTGACGTCACCGACCGAATCAACTTGACGCCCGTGGCACTGATGGAGGGCATGGCGATGGCCAAGACGATGTTCGGCGGAGGGGAGCCCGCGGCTCCGGACCACACGGGCGTGCCCAGCGCAGTCTTCAGCCAGCCGCCAATCGGCAGTTGCGGGCTGACCGAGGTCCAGGGCAGTAAGACCACTCCTGCGCACACGTACCGCCCTCCCTTCGCACCTAGCCTCCGCCATGCCCCACCCCACTTCTCTTCTGTTTCCTGCTGCTGTTGGTTCCCCCCCCTCCTCCTCATCTGCCTCCTCTCTCTAATCCTGCACAGCTCCTCCTGCTCCTTCCCCCTCTTCGTCTGTGAAGCTCCGATCCCCGTGCAGTAATCGCACTTGTTGCGTGCAGTCGGCCTCCAGCTCGGACTGCTGCTTTGGCCCTGGCCACGTTTTGTTATATGATCCCGTTCTCACCTCTTCCCCTCCTGCCCTCATCCCTCTCACCATCGTTCCCGGCCTCGACATCCCTTCTCCTTGGTCCCCCGTATCACCACAGATGGGCAAAGTGGGGTAGCTGAGAGGCCTTGTGAATTAGCGTCTGGAAAGGTGGAAGCGGCCAAGAAGTACGGGAGCGTGGACGTGTACATCTCGGCATTCAAGCCGATGAAGCACACCATGCCCACCGGCCGCGGCGAGGAGGAGCGCATGCTCTTCAAGATGCTCGTCGTCAGCGACGGTATCGAAGGCGCCGGCGACGTGGTCGGCCTGCACATGGTGGGGGCGGAGGCCGGTGAGATGATGCAGGGCCTCGCGGTGGCCATGAAGGCCGGCGCCAAGAAGGCAGATTTCGACGCCACGGTGGGCATTCATCCGACCGCTGCCGAGGTCAGGGGATCATGGGATACGAACACGCATATTTTTAATGATATGTTTATATGGGGCTGGATTTCGAGGCGTCAATCTTAGTCTTTCTTTTGCATTCCGTGTTCTCAGCTTTATTGTAGCCACCTTGGGCCAGGGTGATTCGGCAGCGATAAAACAAAAGGAGCACAGTTAAGAATGCAGAACTTGTGCAGTGGGTTGGGCACGTCAGTTACCCCCGCTGTTATCTAGACCCATGAATAATTTATGTTTCTACTGGGAACGCTGACTCGGTCCCGGAGCCACCAGTCTGCGAAATCCGCCCGCATCCGCAGCATTCTTTTCCGCGGCTAGCCCAGCGCTTGGCTCTGAAACTCGTCGGGAGCTGGTCGAGGCTGTCCCACCTGCTGTTGCCCGGCAGCCGTTGCCCCATGCCGCTACCGCGGGAACGGTTGAAGCCAGCAAAGTATAGCCAGCTATGATCGTGGATAGTTCCCATACGTGAAGGGTTTCTGTGAACAGAGTGGGAATAGCGTGGACCATGCAAAGGACCTCTGCAAAGGACCCCTGCAAAGCACCCATGTTGTCGCCATCGTTGATTTCTTCCTCCTCTATCATCCTACTCGTACTCCTCATCCTCCGAATCATCATCATCATCATCATCATCATCATCATCATCATCATCATCATCATCATCATCATCATCATCGTCATCATCATCATCATCATCATCAGCATCATCATCATCATTCATCATTCATCATTCATCATTCATCATTCATCATTCATCATTCGTCATTCATCATCAGCATCATCATCAGCAGCAGCAGCATCAGCCTCAGCCTCAGCATCATCATCACCACCATCATCATCATCACCACCATCAGTATCCTCATCATCATCCTCTTCCTCTTTATCTTCATCGTCATCATTATCATCCTCATCCTCGTTGTGTCTGTCACTCTCGCTGCTTAGCTGATCGTGTATTGAATTCTGGATAGTGAATATGCCCGCTTCTCGCTTCTTGTCCGCTTGCCCTCTTCTCGCTTGCCCTCTTCTCGCTTCTTGTCCGCATGCCTTCGTCCCGTCTCTTACCGCCAATGGGAGTCCTGATCCTCATCATCATTGTCATCATTGTCGTCGTCAGCAGTATCCTCAGCATGGCCATCGGCATCGTCGGTCACCATCGGCGCCAGCAGCATCATCATCATCAGCAGCATCAGCCTCAGTATCATCATCGGCACCATCAACAGCATCATCAGCATCATCATCATCATCATCGTCAACATCAGTAGTATTATTATCATCATCCTCATTATCATCATCATGCTACTCACCAGAATCATCATCAGCAGCATCATCACCAACATCACCATCACCAGTATCATCAGCATCATCATCATCATCAGCATCATCAGCATCATCATCATCCCACCTCCTCTTGCTCCTCCCCCTGCTCCGCCTCCTTCGCCGCCATTGCCGCCTCTGTTCCTCCACCTCTCTTCGAGGAGTGGTGCACGATGCGCACGAAGACCAGGACGACCACCAGGGCAGACGTCGAGGCCAAGGAGAAGGAGACCCTGGCGGCCTGAGCCTCTCCTCCGCGCCCCCCGTGCGCCCAGAGCCCCGCGGGAAAGCCCCGCGGTCTGGCTCCATCGCCTCCCGGATGCCCCCTCGCCCTCCTGCTTCCCTCTCTCCCTCCTCGGCTCCTCTTGCTGCGGTCTGCCTCCTTCCTCCTCCTCCTCCTCCTCCTCCTCCTCCTCAGGGGACGGTGTTCCAGGTGAGGTCCGGCTTCGGAACTGGACCGGCGAAGAAGCCACGACTTGCGATTGTACGGCGTAGGGCGTGGGTGCGAAGGCGGGCGTGCAAGATGGCGCCATAGCGAAGGCTCCCTATGGAGCACGTTCCTTGTGAGGGGTCCTCGAAACACGGATTGTTGCGAATGTGGGCGTGTTCATTGTCGCCATAGTGTGGTATCGAGTGCGTGAAGGGTGTGCTTGAATGCGTATGGTGCGAATGCGTGCGCGCACACTAGCGACATAGCCAGGGCGCCCCCAGAAGCACAAAGTGCGTGAGGGGTGCGCGCTTGAATTCGGGGTTGAGGGCACCCCCCCGCTTTGGAAAGGGGGTGGGCCAGGGATAATGAATCGGGAAACGGGAGAGGGAAGGGAGGCAGGTCAACCAGCGGCGCGCCCTCCCGCCTTGAGGCAGCAGTGCGAACGCGGGCGCGCCCACAAGCGCCAGAGCAGCAGCCCCCCTTATGTGGCGCGAGGTCTGTGGGCGTGTGCCAAGTAGAGATTTGCGCGAATGTTGGTGCGCCCACTGATGTCATAGTTGGGCTCCATGCGGGGCACGTTGTGTGTGAACGGTGTGATTGAGTGCTCGAGCGAGGCGGTCCACACGCGGGCATGCCCATCTGCGCTACAGTTTGGGCTCCATGTGGGGCGCGAAGTTTGCGACGGGTGGGCCAACGTGAGGGCTTGTGCGAATGAGCACGTCCTCCCTGTGGGGCACGCAATGCTTGAAAGGTGTACCCATCACTGATGCCTGGTGCGCATGCAAACGCCCCCGTTGGCGCCGTAGCTGGGGTTTCCGCCCGGGCGGGGGGCTTGCCAACATCAACAGAAGCAACATTAGCTCCAGCCGCAGTGTGGGAGCAGGAGGAGGAGGAGGAGGAGGAGGAGGAGGAGGAGGAAGAGGAGGTGATGAAGGGGTGCGCAGCGCGGCGAAACAAAAGCGAATTCCTAAATCCACACGATGGTTGGGGACACACTCCCTTCGAAATCCCGATCTGACACAAACACTTGCTTCCGAATCCAGATCGGCCCCGCGATCCTCACCAGCATCATTTATCGTTCCAACATCCCCTCCTCTCCCTCTCTCTTTTTCTCTCTCCTTCTCTCTATCTCTCTCTTTCCACCGTATGTTCCTCCTCGTTCTCCCTCGCCTCTCTCCTCCTCTTCCGGATCCTCCTCCTGTCCCATCGTTTTTCCAATAAGCTGCTCCTTGCCGCACCGGCAGACGTGTTGGTAGGGCTGGCTGGGCGTTACGCTTGAGACGTCGTCATTCTGAATAATAACCCACACGCTTGACACATGGAACAGCTTCAAGGATGGAGGGCGAGTGGCCTTCAACATGCTCCTCTCGCTCCAGCGCCGCGCACATTTGTTCCAAAAGGTCACAACAGCTTCAAGTATGGATGGCAGGTCCTTTTCACAACGTGGCCCTTGCTGTAGCGCCGCGCACATTCGTTCAAACAGTGTGCAACAGCGTCAGCGATGGAGGGCGGGTCATTTTCAATATGCACCTCTTGCTTTATTGTCGCGCGCAGTCGTCCCCAAAAGCTTGAGGAGGCTTCAACGATAGAGGGTGGGCCCTTTTCAAGATGGGGCTCTCGCTTCCGCGCCGCGCACATCCGTTTCGAACGTCTGCAACTCTTTCAAGGATGGCGGGCGGGCCATCTTCAAAGTGCGGCTCTCCCCTGAGCGCCGCACACATTTGCTTCGAGCGTTCGCAACAGCTTCAAGGATGGAGGGTGGCTCTTTTTCAACATGTGGCTCTCGCCTTAGCGCCGCGCGCAGTCTTTTCAAAAGCTTGCAACAGCTGTAAGGGTTCGTATGGGTGAAGTCCCAGGAAGTGCATTCTGGCACGGCTTTGGATTGTCTGGACGCAACAATTGCCTTGATTCGCGGTGTTGACGTCTCAGGAAGAGCGTTCTGGTACGACTTAGGGTTGTCAGGACGCAATAGTCACGTAAATTCGCGGCGCTGGAGTTCCAGGAATGATGTTTTGGCACGATCGGGGATTCTCCGGCGTTTGTCTTTCAATAGGGCACGCTCCGTAATGACAAGTTGTTCTTATAGGGCCCATGAAGGGGGAATTTGGGGGGGAAGGCTCAATTGCAACATCGTTGACGCGTTTGGAGATTATACTCCAGATTTCGTAATAAAGGGAGGGGGGTCTCATTTCGGGGGGGGGGTCTATTCCAGGCTATCTTGGAGGGCCTGGGGGGTCTGGGGACGAAGTTTTGGAGGGTTCTCCCACGGGGGCGGTCTGAAATGACTTGTCTTGGAGGGTCCAGACCCCCTCCCTTTTATTACGAAATCTGGAGTACCCGTTCTCCTTCTCCGCCTTCTCCTCCTCCTCCTCCTCTTCCTCCTCTTCCTCCTCGTCCTCTCTTCCCCCTTGTTCTCCTCGGGCCCGGCCCCCGCGAGTCGAGAGCGCGGCGTTGCGCGTGCGGGCGCGCGCTCGAGCCGGTTCACGTGTGTGCTGGAGCGCTCCTGCGGCGCGCCCGTCGCCGATTTTCTGGACGCTGCGGGCCTGGACGCCGGCTCAGTCACAGGGCGTGCTCAGTGACCTGGACTCCGTCAAGGGGGCGTGCTCAGTGAAAGGTCGAATATCGGGAGTCACATGCTTTGGTTGTCGGGGGCGTGGCTCCCCAGAAGTGCGCCCTCCACAGGCACGCTCCTGATGTTGCTTCGAGGCCAGGTCGGGGTCAGGAGCACGATTCCAGAGTTTGTGCCAACTCCCCGCTCCCTCTGCTTCCCCTCCCATCCCCGCCCTCCTCCCTTCCCGCTCCCCTCCTTGCTTCATCTTTTTCCCCCTCCTTTGTCCCTTTCGGTCCCCCCATCCCCCTTGCTTCCTTACCCCCTCCCTCACTCGGGCGGCCGTAGGAACGAGTTAGGGCGAGTAACCCCCACCTCCCAGGCAAGAAGCAAAACGAAAACCATTGTTCGCACTGGCTTTGACAGGGATGGTGGAAGTTTGGAGCATGTGTTGCGCTCAGCGCTGACTCACAACCCCTAGAAGCCATGCAAAGTGATCGCTGGTGCGCTCACCATGGTGGCCAACCCGTCGCTACTTTGTATGTGGCGTTGAAGAGGATGATGGGGATGTCGGCGTGTACGCGATGTGGGCTTTCACGTATAATGTCGCGCCTGGAGCACGCGGCGCACGTGGCGCATCTGGCGCACCAGGCACACTTGGCACGCTTGGGAACCTGGGGCACCTGCCACACCTGGTGAGCAAGGTGCACCTCGCGACCGTGGCGAGTTTGGCGTCCGTCGCGGTCCCCCTATGGCCCATGGCTGATCATGTGACAGCTTCCACCGCGTATGCTGACTTCTGGGTGCTACTTATGTGGTGAGGGCGGGTGGAAATGAGCCAGACAGCTTTTGGCGCTGCTGTTGGAAATCCGATTCTCCCGCAAACGTCTCCCCCATTCCCTCCGTGTCTCTAGTACCCGTGCCTCTTCACTCAGTCCCCACATCCCCCCATCCCGTTCTCGTCCCATTCTTCCCCCCTTATCTCCACATTCATTCCGCTCCCCTCCTCCCGCCCGTCCCCACCCCCAAATAAAGCACAGGTGTGTGTATGTATGTATATATATATATATGTATATAGATAGATACAGATCTAAATCTATTACCATAAATATACATACGCATACATGCATGTATATCGCTATATATACATGTTGAATGCGCTTATGTGAGTATACATATAGATAACAGTATAAATATAAGAATAGATCCACCTGCCTCCCCGCTCCCAGTTCCGCCTCCCCTCCCAAGTCCGTTTGTGTCGCTTCCCTTTATTATCGCCAATCCTCTCCTTCTTATTCCGCTCCCTCTCTGCGAACTCCCCCCTGTTGTCCCAAAGCATCGTATAGTGTTTCGTCAACAAGGCAGAAGGCGGAGAGAGGAAGGGTAGGGCGGGAGAGAGGGAGGGGAGAGGAAGGCAGTCATGGACGCGAGCAGCCGTTCCTTTGTGCACCGTTCCACGATCTCGCCCACCCCCTCTTGTCCCTTCTCAATACGGCACTTGTGATGCGCATCGCGCGCACGTACACTACAGGACGCCCAACTCCGCCCTGTTCTTCCGCAGTGGCGCCAGGCCCGGTTGCCATGTGCTGGGCGAGGTGCGGTCCACATCGCATCATCCTTCGCTTCCTCTTCGGTCCTGTGCCGAGGGGCACTGGGTGGTTCCAATTTGGCATGGCACATTACATATTCTAGTTAAATTCACCCGCCCACCCGCCCAGTCCCCCAAATGAATCCGCGACTCGGGGAGCTTAAGTTCCACGCCTCCCTGCCCCGCTTCTCGACACGTCTTCTCGACATGCTGTGTTGAATTTCATGTGTGTCCCCATTCCTCCCCGCTGCAAGGTGGGAATCACGATCCAGGACCTGGTGTTCTCGATCGAGCAAGTCGGATGGCACGAGCTGGACAACAGCGGCCAACAAGCATGGGTATGCCTACTGTCGTCCATGGAGCAACGCGGGCCCTGCGGACGCTTTGAATATCCTGTCCAGCCCCGCCGTCTCCTCTACGATTGTCCTCATCGTGCTCCCTTTCGCTTGATATTGTCATCTTTCTGTAAGTCGAAATTATCGATATGTTAGCTACCATGGGCCCCAAGCAGCGATCTCCTGCAATCTGTGCGGTGCAACTAGTGGGTGTGCAATCTAGGTGATGCAACCCACGTGGTGCAAACTTTGTAGTGCAGAGCAATGTCAGCAGCGTAATGCAACGCAGAGCAATGCGAAGCAGTGGTGAAACTCTACGCAAATACATGCGGCCAACTCAAAGCACTGCACTGTGCGAGCCTCGCACAATCAAAATCGTGACCAAGCACGGCGGCGACTGGCGGTGATATATTGGCCAGCAGAGCAGCATTGAGAAGACAACTCGAGCCCGATGCTCGAGTGTCGAGTGGGAGCGGCAGCGGCGGCATCGATCAGATGACGATGACGGTCCCTTAGGAGTTGACGCAGCAGGCTCACTCCAGCTTTCGCCACGCTGGAGGCGGGTCTACGCCACTACTCCCGTCGCCGCGGCAGTGCGGCAGTGCGGCATTCGCCCGGCGTCTGCGTCCTCGCGCGTACTGCCTGCGTGCGCCTCGGCCGCCGGCGTGATCGCCAGGCGAGCCTGCGCACGGTGGGGCGAGCGTGGCGCTGAGCGCCGGCCCCTCCGCCCCTGCTGCAGGCCTTTAGGGGACCAGGAGCGGGCAGCCCTTGCCCCTCCCCCCGGTCTCTTTCCCAGCCGATCGGCACGGGGGCCCTCAGCACCCCTCGGGGCGAACGCCGGCAATAGGGGCTGATAAGGCGTTCCGCCGCCCGCGGGCGCCCGGCGCCGCGCTGCAGCCGCTGCGCCCCCTCGCTGCCCCGCGCGTGCCCAGCAGGCCTCCACGGAGGTGCCCCGCGGGCGCGCGCGGCCAGGGGGCCACCGACGGCAATCCCACGCCGCCGCTGGCAGCGAGGGACCTCGCCATGCGAAGTTCGATGGCGGTCCCTCGGCACCTGCTGCACCCAGCTGGTACCGGACGCTCGGCCCTCGCCGGCGGCGGCTCTGCACGCCCGCTCTCCGGCTGCAGCTCTCTTTCCACCACGCCTGCCGCACGCCTGGCCAGAAGCACGGCGGCATGCACGCCTGACGTCGCCAGCGGCATGAACCTCCTCTGGGCTGCCGCACGCCTGGCCAGAAGCACGGCGGCATGCACGCGTGACGTCGCCAGCGGCATGAACCTGCTCTGGGCTCGCCTGACCACGTCACGGCCAGCGGCTCGTCAGTCACCGTGGGGTTTCGTCGCGGCTTCACGCCTCACCCCGTCACCCTTCCCGAAGCCCTGGGTGTCGCGCACATGCCGCACGCCGTGGAAGGCCACCGGCCCCTGCGCACTCGTGTCGAGGAAGAGCCGCCGCGGGCGCTTGGCCCGCTGGTGGCCCTGGCCCTGGTCATCACTGTTCGGCGGCTGCTCCCTCCTCCTCCTCCTCCTCCTCCTCCTCCTCCTCCTACTCCTCCTCCTCCTCCTCCTCCTCCTCCCCAGCAGCAGCCAGCGCCGAACAGCCGGGCCCCTGTCCTCCGCGCCGGTCGTGCAGCCGAGCTCGGTGAGCGCATGCCAGCAGGCGGACTTCCCGTGCCTGTCGGTGGGCTCGTTGTGGACGGAGAGGGCCGTCTCCCTGCTGGTCAGCTGCTTGCCCGCGGAGGAGGCGGAGCGCCCTCCTGTGCTGGGTTCTCCACCCGCCTTGGGTTTCGCCTTGACCCTCGGCGGCGGCGTCCTGGGGAACGGGGGCGCCTCCACGCGTGGCCGCGCCAGTTGGCTGAGGGGGGCGGCGCCCGCCCTCTCGCGCAACGGCAGCGGCCCCTCAGGCTGCAGGCCGAGGGCACCTCGCCAGGCGGCGCTCGGCCTCTTGAGCGCCCCCCCCACCTTCTCGGCCCGCAGGGCCTCGCAGCGCTTGAGATGCCCCGGCAGCGCGCCCCTCTGTATGGGGCTCCGCGGTCTGGTGGCTAAGACGGCTGGTGTACTCTATCATCTGGTCCAGGATGTGTCTTTGACCTCTTCGCCGAAATCTGTGGCGACGCTCTGCGCGGCCTCGGCGGCGGTGGCCCCGCGCCTCCTGGCCTCGAGGTAGTTAGAGCTCGAGCACATCGTCGCAGAAGTCGCTGCCGACCTCCGAAGGAGCCCCTTCGCCGCTGGGGCTGCGCCAGGAAGCCCGCTCCGCAGGAGGGGCCCTCCGCCCAGGGGCCCGGGCGGGCGCGGCCGGCGAGTCTCCCCGAGCCCCTCGCGGGGTCGCGGGGGAGCTGCTGCGATCGAGCTTGCGCCAGTGCCCCCTCAGCTGCTGCCGCCACGCCTGGCTTGCGCCGCCCGTCGGCCCCCTGTGTGCCGGGGAACCACGATCGCTCCGTGCTCGCGGAGCTCATCCCAGTTCTCCGCGCTCCGCGGCGCGGCTCGTCCCCCCGACGGGATCGCATGCCACTTCTCGAGTTTCTGCACGACTTGCGGGGACATGCGCGGCGGCCACGATCCCCTCCCCCCCCCTGTTGGGGGCCCGCAAGGGAGTGGCCGAGCAACTCCACGAGGAAGCTTGCGTGCAACCGACCTGCAGAACTCGTCAGCGGCGATGGCATGGCCTCGTCTGGGGGTGCCAGGAATCGCGCCTGCCCGCCGTCCGCGACGAGGGGCAACACTTCAGGCTCGTAGTTCGCGATGGCTGCCATCCTGCCCCGTCATCCCGCGGAAGAGCAGACCATTGGACCCTCCCGGCCGCCCCGCACGCACCCTGAGAGCAAAGTGCTGAGAGGCCGAGGGCTACTGGGCATCGGCGGCACTGGTGGTGGGGGGTCGCCCTCTCCTCGACCCTCGCGCTGGGCGGTCCTGGGGGCTCGGGACTGGCTCGCGCGGGCTGTCCACGGGCCCGGCGGCTCCCGCGGCGATGGCCCTTTCCGGCGCGCGGCTCCGCGACGTCGGGGTCAGCCGTCCGCGCCGCCGGAGGCAGCACACGAAATCTCACCGCTCGGTTTCGCGGTGGTCGGCTTGAGCGGCTTTGGCGGCGCCCCCCCCACGTGGGCGAGGCAGGGGGGCCCGCCCGAGACGATCCCCGCACTGGCCCTGCAGCAGGTCACCTGGCTGCACTTGTCCGTGCCTTGGGCGGCGTTCGACTGCCCGCGGTGGGCACGCAGGCGGGCGCTCGGCTGCGCGCCGTCGCTGGGGGGCGGCATGTCCGAGGACCGACCTGTCCTCGCACAAGATGATGGGCTTGTTTTCCACCACCACCATAAGTTGGAGGGGGAGGGGGTCCTCCTCCTCCTCCTCCTCCTCCTCCTCCTCCTCCTCCTCCTCCTCCTCCTCCTCCTCCTCCTCCTACTCATGGTGGTGGTGGTGGAAAACAAGCCCAGCACCAGGAAGGCGGCGGGCGCATGCTGCCGGCTGCGCCCCCCCGGGCACCCCTCGGCGAGGGGGCCCGTGGCGGCCGCACCTCGCCCGCCCCGCACCATATATGTAGCGCTCGCCCTCTCGCGGCGGCGCACGGCCGCTCCTCCCCGGGCCGACCTCCGACCCTCAGGGAGGGGAACAAAAGACACACAGAGACACGATGAATCGTCGACCCCCAGGAAAACAGGGGAAAATGTGGGAAGGGGGGGGGGAAGACAGAAGCCCAGAGAAAATATGGGAAAAGATATGGGGGGATAGATAGTTTGGGGGGATAGTTTTAGTTGTGTGTGTATCTATTTGCGTGTCCTGGGGCCCCTTCAGACTCGGACTCCTGGTCCAGCATCCGGTTCACAGCGCTGCCGGAGGCGCCCGGGACTCCGCCTGCTTGCGTTCGGCGACGTCAGCGCCAGCGGCAGTGGCAGGAACCGCAGCGCGTAGCCCGGACCACGACGCATCTGAATCCCCGGCCGACTCCCCGCCAGAAGACGGCGCAGGCTCGGCATTGGCTGAACTGCGCGCGCAAAGAGGTCGATGATCGCCTCCGCGTCCACCGCGGCGTACTCGGCCCAGCGGAGCTCGCCTGTCTGGACCAGGCATCCGGCGGAACGGTCGAGGTAGATGCGGAGGGGCTCGAGCTTCTGCAGGTGTACTCGATGCTGGCGACGATTAACCCTGTTGGCCAGGTCGAAGTCCACCCAGAGCCCCTAGGCGGTCCATGCGCTTGGAGTCGGAGTCGAAGTCGTCGAAGTTCGGGCCGAGGCGTGCGACCTGGCCCTCGTGCCGGATCAGGACGTCGTGGAACTTGCGCTCGGAGCCCCTGCCCTTGACCCGAGTGCGGTAGTGCTCGGTCGACGTGTCGCGCCCCGCTGCCGGGCCACACCACCTGATGGTCGTGGGCTGCCGCGGGGCTGGCGGCATGAGCTTGTCCAGCTGTGCATCGCCGGGCGCATGCCTGCGGGGGCGCAGCCAGAACACCCAGCTTGCCGCCCGCGCGATCCAGCTGCAGGGCGCGAAGATGGCGCGGAGGCTGTGCGCCACCAGCGGGGAGGTAGACGCCCGCCTGGTCCACAACGTACATGGCCCACCCCCCGTCGGAGCCGAGCCACCCGTGGTCCTCCCGAGTTGAAAGCGCCGGTGCCCCAACGCCTCGAAAGCCCCGCCACCGGCACCCTCGATCGGACATCCAGAATTTAAAGTATTGTTGCCTTCGGGCTTCCAACTCAGGACCCAGACGCCCCATCCCCCGATCCGGGAGGTCTCAGAGTCACGAGATCCTGGGCCTGCCTGGTTGGCCCCACAACCCAGCGGCCTGGCCCGCGGCACCGAGTGCACGCCTGGCGGGGCATCGCCCGGGTCCCGGGGGGGGGCCCCCTGTCGTCGCCGCCGCCGGAGCGCACCTGCGGGACCTCCAGCGGCGCGGCGCCGCCGCCGCAGCAGACGGAGTGCGCGTTAGGCCCCCTCCGGGCGGGGGCGGACCCAACGGCCGCTGGCAGCCGGGCGCGCGCGGTGCCCGGGGCCGGGCGGCGCGCATGGGGGGGGCCCCGCGGCCAGCGCGAGCGAGGGCCGCGTGGCACCCAGCTGCTGGCCCGCCCGGCCCCTCTGCCCGGGCAGCCGCCCTGCGATGGGCGTGAGCGGGCGCCGCCTGGAGCTCAGCTGCCAGCCAGCACGGGCCGCCCCCGCCCCGCCGAGCCGTGGTGGCGCGGCCACGCACGTCCTCCGGGCCCCGTCGTCCGGGGCCCAGGCCTTCTGAGGCCTCCTGGGGCCAGCCGCCATCTGGGCCCGGAAGATCTACGAGCCGCACGCGCGCACGGGAGAGGGGAGAGGGCAGAGCAAGAGCAAGGGGACCAGGAGAGGGAGCCCCGAGAAGATGTGGGAGCCAGTAGATCCGAACGTTTTCGTCACACATCCTAGACGGGCGGCCACAAACTGGCTGGACCGACAACTTGGCTCTCGCGCAATCAAAATCGTGACCAAGGACAGAGGCGACAGGCGGCCACAAGTTGTCCGGACCGACAAGGAGACTAGTTTGCATGCCCAGCTTGCATCGGCGTTTATGTTAAGGTGGTTTGATTGCTGTGCCAAGTTGTGATATGACATGACCCGAAACGGTCATCATTTCCCTATCACATTTCCATCAACTGGATCAGTTACCTTGCTCCTTGTTGTTGTTCCCGCTGCTCTTGCTGCCTCTTCCTCACTACACAGTCCTCGTTCAGTCATCCTCATCGCCCTGATCGCACCCGTTCTGCTAGTTCTCATCCCCCGTATCCTCCATGCTCTTTCTGCGCCTCCCCTCTCCCTCCTTTCGCCATCGCCCTTCCCGTCGCCCCTCGCACTTCCTCCACAAGCGTGGGAAATGACGGGGGTAGGGTACTTGTCCATCGTAGCGCGCTCTGGATGGGCTCGCTTTGCCGCGCGCACCTCCGTCAGCCCCCTCCCCTGCCCAGGCTCATCGACATACACTCGCCAGACGGCCGCACCTACATTGTCACCAGGTCTTTGACGACTGAAATTGCAGAGGAGGGCTTCAATTGTCGATCCCACTGTGAGGGAGGCTCTTGGCGGTTCAGATGCCCTTGGAGGGTGTGGCGCCCCAGGGTTCATTCCAGCAGGTGCACATCGCCGAGAGTTTTCCCAGGACGCTTGAATCATGGAGAGCGGCCCCCTCTGGCCTGATATAACCCGCAAGATCTTACGAAGGTCAGGGCCATGGTTGTCCTTGCTAACTCTTCTCTGTTTAGGGTGCCTTACTCATCCTAGTCCTCCCCACCACCAGGATCCTCATCCTCCATCCCTGCTCCTTATAGATAATATGTCCCTTTCGCACCGCCTGCACGTGTTGGTCGGATGGGCTGGGCGTTTCGCGTGAGATCCCCTCGCCATTCATGATCGTCAAGCTTGAACTCGCAACCGCTGCACTGATGGGTGGGGCTCAGACTAGGGCTCTCGCCTTAGCGCCGTGCGCATTCGCCAAGCAGCTTGCAGCAAACACCACGATGGAGGGCAGGTGGTGTTCAAAATGCGGCTCTCGCCCTGGCGCCACGCCGATTCGTCTTCAACTCGTGCAACAATCGTAAGGACGGAGGCAGGTGGTTGTCACGCTGGAGCTCCCGCCTCAGCGCCGTGCACATTCGTCATGGAAGAGTATGTCATTTGGTATGATGGGAGGGCATGCTGTGTTCAACGGGGCTCTCCTTTCAGCACTCCGCATATTCGGCATCAAGCTTGCAGCAGCTGCAGGGATGGAAACCGGTTCTGCTTCAAAACGGTACCCTCGTCTTAGAACCATTGAGATTCCAAGATTGGCAATTCGAAGAGAGCGGTTACTTTTCAATGTTGGGTTTTCGTTTGGGAAGCTCTCTCCCTGGCGGTGGCTGAGGCGGTTCCGCTGCGCCACCCGCTGGGATGCGGGTGTGCAGAAGCCGGGGAGGCGTGACCGCCAGCTTGCGCAGTGGTAGCGCTCAGAGTTCATGCCGATGTTTGTTCTTCTACGGGTGCTACGAGGGCGCGGTGTTCGTCGGTGCCTAGATGTTCACGCCTGGGCTGGGTAGATGGCTCGTGCTTCTTTCGCCGCACGAGGCTCGGGCACGGCCAAGCACAGCGCGCTCAAACAAGAAGAGTAAATTTGTGCAACAGTGACATGTGGGTGTGGCTCTTTTTCAGAAGGGGAATATCGCTGGATAACTGGCTGAACTGTTTGATCAGGACGCTAGAAGGACGCAATGCAGTTCTGTTCTAATGCCCATGCGACTTGGGGTGGGAGGGTGTATTGCAGAATGGTTGATGCATCGTTGGATTACTTTGGTCATCCTCCCCCTCCTTTTCCTCTTCCTCCTCCTCCTCCTGCTCCTCTCTCATCCTCTCCGCTCCTTATCCTCCTCCCCCCCACCTTTTCCATGGCCATTCTGGCCAGAATTAGTCTCAAAGATGTGTTGAGTTTCGTGGAGCACGTTGTCTCCAATGCCCGGATTGCCCGCTGCCCCGCGCGCTATTGATGTTGCCGCTCCCTGCCTGTGCCTTCTTCGTCGGACCCGCCAGCACGTTGCAAACAACGATCCGCTTCGTAAGCTGCAACTTCTGGCGCGACAGTGCCATGGTTACGTGCGCGGTCAGGAGCACTGTGATCTGATCCCTCTCCGTACCAAGATGATCCTGGACAATCCGTGCGCCCATCAATGCCAAGGCCACCTCTGCCCAGACTGGCTGTCGTGCCTCTGTCCCTGGCGCCGCTCGCGCTTGGCACAGACTCCCGGGGCACGCCCCTGCCAGGTGGAGGCTTCATGGAGGGAGGCGTGTGAGGAACCAGTCCTGTCCGAGCTGTGCAATGAGGACGGGGACGGCGACGAGAACACCGACATGGTGGATGCAGACCAGGAGCACGACGTTGTAAACAGGAGTGTCCGCGGGTCGGTCGGTTCGGCTCTGTCGCAGTCGGTTGCATTCGGTCGGTTTGGTTCGGTTGGTTGTGGTGTCGTTTTTGCGTCGCTGCGCCCATCTAGGCTGTTTGCGGCCTGTCGGTTTCTGTCGATTTCGATGGCGCTGTTGGTCCGGTCGGGATTCGGTTGTGCTCTCGCCGTGGACGACGTTGGTAAAAAGGCTATCGTGGCAGCGTTTTGCCGCGAACAACGGGCGCGACGACCTGGAGAACGAGCTCGAGGTGGACGAAACCGAAGTCCCGGCGCAGCACTCGTGTCTTCGGAAACAGAGGAACCCCGCAGGACTGGGCTGCCACGCTGCCGTGCGCACCGCGCGAAAACGCGGGCACCAGCTCTTGCCAGTCAGGAGACAACGACGCAACAACATGCATAGCCAGCGCCGTCGTTGACTGCTGCATAGCCCGCTACTGTTGGCACGGGGCGCCGACGGCGCCGCGCATGGCTTGGTCACAGGACCTCTTGGACTGTGACAGACACAGCATCTCGACGAGGGGGCGGCTTCCTCCAAAATGCAGCCGCAGGGTCAAGCGTCCGCGTTGATCATCCCCGCCGACGCCCCACACACAATTCGAGAGCGGTGCGTGGCCAGAACCGGGCGCTGCAGGACCGAGCGGCCGTTGACAGAGAGCAGGGTGCGGCAGTCGAGCAAGGCTTGCGCAGTCAAGCTCAAGCAGTTGTCAAAGCACGCGGCTGCAGAGGAGGCCCTCCCAGCGGACCCCAACTACATTGAGAAGGCGATGGCCGCGCCTCCCCGAGTCGTTGCCGGTGGCGGGCGGTTTCCGCCGCCCGCCGTGACAGAGCACGCCGCTCACTTCATGCAGCCGAGGGCTGCCTGCGGCGCGCCCGCGCTGCCGCCAGTGGACGGCGGCATTTGGCGGGCCCTCTTTGGGCATGCAGGAACATGCGACACCGAATGAGCTGGCTGCGGCAACCCCACGGCACAAGAAGGCCGCGTCCGCCGATGCGCGCAAGAAGTCCTCACTGGCCGAAGTGGCCATGCTCCTCCTAGCAGGCCTGGTGCAGCGTTGGCCCCGAATGTGGAATAATTCCTTCGAGTCACGGCGTCGGCTTCGAAGAGGTGAACACTGCGAGATCGTTGCGAGAGTTTCTGGGCAACATCGCTCATACCGGCGCCTAGTGCGGCATGTCGCTGCACGGGTCTAAGTTCCAGCTGTGAACTACTAGCGGGGCAGAACTACAACCTTCGATCGCCGACGGGAGACGCCAACCCCAGCATGGACGCGATAGACTACCTCGGGGCCGCTATCCGTTCCGACGAAAACGTTTGCTTCGAGATACATCGCAAAATTGGTTTGCTTGGGCGGAGTTCTGCAAAACCAACATAGCATTGAAGAGGACCGCTTTATCAAGAGAGAGAGAGGGGGGGAAAGTTAGAAAGGTACGAAGCCGTCATTGGGAGTAGACATGCTTGACGGATCCAATTCTGCATGGCTTCAGGCAGTTGTTGACATCCGCCGATTGAGCAGATTTTCATAGAGATGACAAAGGGTGATCTGGCGGATTCCGCCAGCTTTTGTTTCCAGGGCACCAGGCGTAAAAGTTCGACACGGCCCGGCAAGAGCCGATATCGACAAAGCTCCTGAAACATAAATTCCTACACCTTAGGCGATGCTTAAGCAAGCCCAAGTTTTCGGCCAGAGTCTCGATTATTCTCAATGTTTCAATGTACGTTGGGTTTTTATTCAAGTTCTGAGACTATGAATTTCTTAACCCATGATTTCTTAAGCATTTCGCAGGGTGTACTGTATGGCAGGGTGGCAAGAGCATTGGATGGCGACGAGCTGCCCAACATGAACTTTCTGCTGGGCACGAGGATCTTCATGACGCAGAAGGACTTCCAGAAGGTGGGGCGCTCGCGGAATGCGCGAGCTGGCCAACTCGCAAAGCACGCTGCCAAGGGTGACGGCAACATCCACGATCAAGCCGGCCGGAGGGCCAGAGTGAGCCGGCATTGCATGTGTTTGGAGCGTCCATGCGCCCTTGACGTTTGACTTGTGCGTGTGAACGTTGCGATTCATGGGTGTTCCTCGTTCTGGTGCCCTGTCCCGTGGCGCCTCATGCTTTGTCGATAGTGAGTGCGTGGGAGTTGAGTAGTCCTCATGTTCCTCATCCGTCAATTCTCCTTGCGCTTTACCCACAGCATCATCATCCTCATCATCATATGCGTAATCGTCCTGGGTATGTTTCTATACATTTCCTCTTATGTTTCTTACTCTTTCGTTTTGGATTTCTCAGCACGGTTCATCACTGTGTTATGTTTCTGTTCTGCCAATTTATTCTGCTCATCCGTTATTCCTCATTACGTTCCCTCCCCCCTCCTCGTCCTCGTCCTCTTCCGCGTCATCTTCCCGCTCCCCTTCCACCTCGACATCGTCATCCTCCTCCGTTTCGCTTTGCTCCTTGGAAAAAGCCCCTCCTCCCCTTCTTTTCCCCTCAGAATCATTTCCTCCTCCATCCCTTCCTCCCTCCTCGCCCCTTCCCTCTCCCAGCCTGGCTACTCCGAGGTGCCTCTGCCGCTGCTGCCTGCCGAAGTGTGCCTGTGTGTGTGTCTGTCTGTCAGTCTGTCTGTCAGTCCTGTCAGTCTGTCTGTCAGTCTGTCTGTCTGTCTGTCTGTCAGTCTGTCTGTCTGTCTGTCTGTCTGTCTGTCTGTCTGTCTGTCGGTCCGTCGGTCCGTCGGTCCGTCTGTCTGTCTGCCTGCCTGTCTGTATGTCTGAGCGTTCCGACAGCGCTCGCCCCTCCCCAAACAGGCCGCTCTGCGAGGGAAAGCGGGGCCGGGCGCGGCAACTTTTTTGGGGCTACCCCGCCGAGGTGCTCTGCGCGCTCGAGGGCGCGCAGTGGGAGACAGCAGTTCGCCTCCGGCTGCACCTCCGGCGACCGGAGTGCGACAGGGGCCAACTCGCGGCGGCGACGGCCCACTGCTGCCTGCGGAACGCCAGCGGCGAGGCCGTCGCGCGGCCGGTGGACGGCCGCGGCTGCCACAGTGCCGCCTGCCAGAGCGGCGGCGGGGTGGTGCGCAGGCGCGGCAGGGTGGTTCGACGGCTCGGCAGGCTGCTGCGGCGCTCGCTGGAGGCACGACGCTGGGGAGGCGGAACACGACGTGCTCGGCCTGGAGTGCCAGGACGACGACGGCCGCCGCTGGCCCGACGCTTCCGTGCGACACCCCGCTGCAGGCACCCCGGCGGAACAGCGGGTCGCGGCGCGCCGAGACGGCGAGGCGAGCCGGCGCGGGGAGCGAGACAAGCACGTCCGTTATCTCGGAGAGCGCCCCGCCCGGTTTGTCCTCGAGGCGGGGGGGCGACTCAGCGCGGAAGCGCGCCTTTGGTTGAAGGCCGAAGTGCGCCGCCGCCTGACGCCGGGCAGGCCCGCGAGTTCGCGCGCGCCCCGCGTGCTCGCGTGCGGCCTGCAGGGCGAGCTTGCGCGGCAACTACGCGCCGCCGCGGGCTTGCGCCTCGGCGCCGGCGACGCGCCGAGGCGCTGGGGGCAGCGGTCGCGCACCGCCGCCGCCGCCGCGGGCCCGCGCTGGCTCGCCTGAAAGCCATTAGCGGCGGCGCCCGAGGCCGCCGCGCGGCGGGCGCCGCTGCGAACCAGCGCGGGGCTCCCGTGAACGCTGGCTGCGCGCCGCGTCTGGCCCGCGCCAGAGCGCCTGAGAGCTGGCGGCGACGCTGGAGGCAACGGCGCGGCGAGCGCCGCGGAGTTGACGGGGCGCGAGCCGGCGTGGGCGCCCCGCCGCGGAGGCGCCGAGCAGGCTTGGCGCGGCGCGGGCGCTGCTGGCACAGCCTGGGGCGCTGCCAGCGGCGCGGGGCGGGCGCAGCCTGGGGCGTTGGGTTGGGGCTGGGCTGTCGGGCGCTGCCAGCGGCGCGCGGCGGGCGCCCCCACCCCTCTTCCTTCCCCTGTTCCGGCGCCCCGGACCGTGCGCCGACTTTGTTCCGCGACATGGTCTCGTTCCCCAGGCTCGGCTGGGGCGTGCCCTAGAGGCGCGGCTTTTTGGCGGGTAAGCAACGTGTGCCCAGAAAGTCTGTGCGTCTGTCTGCCTGTCTGTCTGTCTGTCTGTTTGCCTGTCTGTCCTGCTCTGTCCTGTCCTGTCCTGTCCCGTCCTGTCTTGTCCTGTCCTGTCCTGTCCTGTCTCTCTGTCTATATGTTTGTCTGCCCGTGTGCGTGCGCGCGCGCGTGCGTGCGTGCGTGCATGTGTGTGTGTGTCTGTGTGCGCGCGTGCGCGTGCGCGTGCGCGTGCGCGTGCGCGTGCGCGTACGTGCGTTTGTCTGTGCGTGTGTATGCGTGCGCGCGTGCGTGCGGGCGTTTGTGCGTGCGTGCGTGTGCGCGTGCGCGCGTGCGTTCGTGCGAGCGTGCCTGCGTGCTTGCGTGTGCGTGTGCATGCTTGCGCGAGCGTGTTTGTGCGAGTGTGGTTCTGTGCTTCTTGCGCTCTTTTGTGTAGGAGCCCCGCGTGGCACCACTATGCGTCGTTGGTTCCTGACGGGGTCGCCCTGGGGCCCGCGGGTGTTTTCTCTCCAGACACGGCCCGGCGCAGACAGATGGCGTTGACTGGCAACGGCCAGCGCAGGAACGTCAAATCAGGAATCCGAATTTCTCCGCCATCCTCCTCTTTCTTCTGCCCTAAAGCGGGTCTCTAACTGACCCCAGCCCCGCCCTCGGACCACCCCCGCTGGGCCGACAGGTCAGCGCAGGTGCAGCGCGGCATGCAGAGGCGCGAGCGGCCGTTGAGGCCAGACGAGCTGGAGGAGCAACGTGGGAAACGTTCCCCAGTTTTGTGGCGTCCTGGAACAATCAGAACGGCCTGTCGTTGTTCCAGGGCTGGGCCCGTCTCGGGCCTCTGGAGGCCCACAGAAGACGACACACGTCGCGAAATCCATAGTTTTACGACGTACGGGCCCGAGAGTTCTGAACCCCTCACGTTGAACATTCAGGACGACGGGGGGTCTGGCAACGGGGTCGCGGCAAGCTCCAGGGTTGCGCACAGACAGCCCCTGAAGTAGTCCGGGCGGCCCTTGACAAGGCCTGGGTGTAATCTCTGGCGGTTTCAACGCTCAGCGCCGCCTCCGGCGGCACCTCCCCGTGGGCGTTCCGAGCCTCGAGGTGGGGCTGTTGAGACCGCCCTGGGCTAAGGCCAGCCGGTGCCACTTCCGATGAGCAGCGGGAAGGCATCTGGCCGCTTCCAGGAAGGGGTGTCTCTGCCGAGGGAGCGGGGCGTGTCGATGCTCCGCGTCGGGGAGCCGTCGGGAGGCCCTCGAGGGTCTAGGCAGTGGTGGCTCGCGCTGAAACTCGGACTGCCAGTGTAGGGGAGGGAGGAGGGGAGGAGGGAGGAGGGAGGGAGGGAGGGAGGGGGGGGGGGATGGGGGGGGAAGGCGGAGAGAGGAGAGGAATGGGGGAGGGAGGGGGGACGAGGGACGGGCGGGCGGGCGGAACGGGTGGGGGGAGCGAGAGGAGTGGAGGGAAGGGAGGGAGGGAGGACGGGAGGGACAGACAGGCGGGAGGGGGGGAGGAGGGAACGGAGGAAGGAAGGGGCAATCGAGGGAGGAAAGGGGATGATGGAGCAAGGACAGGAATGACAGAGGGGGGCAGAGAAAACTTGACGGAAGTGTAGGGGAGGGGAGAGCCATGCGGGATGGCCTCTTTGCTCCACCTTCACATCCTCCTCGCTTCCACACTCCTCCCCCAGTTCCTTCCCCCTTCCCCCACGCATTCCCCTCCCCCTCCCCTCCTCATGTTCCTCCAATCCCCGCCCCCTCCTCCTCCCCATCCCGCCCCTTCGTCGTCGCCTTCGCCGTCGCCGTCGCCTACCCGCCAGCAGGAGGGCTGCTGCGTGACGTGACGATCTGGTGGCGCGCGTGCGCGCCATTGTGCCCAGAAGTAGTCTCATACAGTAGCTTCGCGCCGCGTGGGCACGGCGGCGACCCCAGCGAGGGCGTTCGAGCTTGTTCGCCGCCGGTGGCAACGAATCGGCAGGCGTTGGACGACCTGCGCTTTCGGAAAACCGCAGTCGCTCCAGATTGACGAATACACGCTGGATCGGAATCTGCTGCCGACGTTCATCACGACGCGAAGCCTGTCGTACGCCGATGGGCCCGGAGAGGTCAGCGAATCCGCTGCACATCATCCATGCGATCGAGCGCCTTCCCTTTTATTTACAGGGCCTGTCTGTGTCTAGCGGCTTTGGGCGTGCGGTGAGTTCAATTCAGCGCAGGGCTTCGAAGAAGTCGTCCTCAGTTCGAGCGTTCAGGGCACGCAAGGAGTGGGGGGTGCCGCGCCTGTCATTCAGGAGTTCCAGCAGGTGCTATCTCTTCGGGGTCTCAAGGCTACGTTGGAGGTGGAGGCAGGGGCGGATTCACGAACACGGTCTTGGGATCGGTTCCAGGCCCCCTCTGTGGGCCCTCCTCGGGGTCGTCTTGGAAGCTCCTGGTAGGCTCTGGAGTGCCTCAGGGATTGTCTTGAGGATCGAGAAGGTCGCTCTCTGGGCCAGAGAGCAGGTGACTGCAAAATCACCGGAACAGGTTTTCAATGCACCCAGCTTTTACAGCCGGCCACCAGGGCTCCCAGTAAGGCCAAGCACATGTTCGCAGGGGCTCGCGACGCGCCCATGAGGCCGGCCTCGGGCCTCTGGGAGGCTTCGGCTCCCCTCTGCGGTTCTGGGGCCCCTTGACGAACCCTCCTGGGAGGCAGGAGGGCCCAGGAGCACTCAGAAATCGAAGGCCCATGGCCGGTGCACACTCCATCGCCAGGTGTGGTCCTTCAATGGACTCGAGGGCATTCCGCCAATTTGCGCCCCAGAGGCACAGCCCGCGGTGGCTGGTACGCAGTGTGCGATGGCGCGCGCCGTCCCCCCTTTACCGACCGGTGGGGATGGCAAGAGTGAGGCGCGCCGGCTACGGTGAGGACAGTGGGAGCAGGGAGGCGAAAGGTGCCGGGGGACAAGAACGTTTCGGAATTAGCGGGCGCACTTTGTTGAGCAATATGTTTTCTGCTGGAAAGGTGGTTCTCCGCTGGCGTTCTTCCAGTGGGAGGCCCTCTGTTGAGAGCTGGCGCTCCCCACAGTGAGATGCATCGGCTTGGTTTGACCACGCTGGCATTTGTTTTCGCTAGATGTGTTCCAATTGAGCTGCTTGACGCTTGGTCAACCAGAAATCGCAGACCAGCCAGCTGCAAGCACTGTGCCACCCGCCAGTGGAATGCGACAGTCTTCAAATGGCCAATGCTGGTATCGGCTGACATTGTTAGCTCGTCGTGATGAGACCCGCTCGGCTTTTCTCGGGCAGTTCCACTGAAAGCGTGTCTCGTCGCTTCCGCTCCTCGGAGGTGGCAGTAAAGGACCTCGCCGCGAAGCTCGAGGCAAGTAGACTAATGTTCAGAGCCCCGAATCATCAGGGGTAACTCGGGTCAGGGCTAACTCGGGTTCGTTTTTCGGGAATCCGAACCCGACTTACCCCGGACCCGAGTTACCCCGGATAATTCGGGCGTCCAGAGCCCCGAATCATCAGGGGTAACTCGGGTCAGGGGTAACTCGGGTTCCTCTTTCGGGAATCCAAACCCGAGTTACCCCGGACCCGAGTTACCCCGGATAACTCGGGCGCCCAAAATGTAACAGACTGATGCGCCAGGGCTGCAATTTCTTTCTCTCGGCGGAGTCTCTGCTGCAGCTTCTGTTCCACGTCCGGATCGCGGCAGCGCGGGCTCTCGTTCGGAGGCGGCCCCGCGACGCGTGGGGGCACGCCGGGACTCCCCGGGGATGCCTGGGCTGCCCCCTGCTGGTGTCGCGCGGCCCGCCCCGACGAGCTCCCGCATCTGCACGGGCGCGCAGGGAGGCCCAACGGAGTCTCCAGCGAAAGCAAGCAGAGCCTGGGCTCCTCTTGGTCGCTCGTGGGCCCGCCGCACGTACCATGGGTGGCACTATAGCTTACACAACATAGCTCACATCGCACAATCCGCTTGCACCGCATGGCTTGCACAACGTAGAGTACACAACATGTGTCGCACGGCATACTGTACACAGCACGGCGCATACCTCATAGCTTATACAGCATAACTACCACAACATCGCTCACACCATATAGCTTACATAACATGCTGAACACAACTTAGTTTACTCCGAAAAGCTTGCGCAACAGAACCAACACCACCTAGGTTACTCCGCACATATGTTACGTCCACAGTGCAATAACTCACAGTTCGGGGCTCACGCTGGTGAACGTTTCAGCATGAGGCTTTGGTACTCGATGTCTGCTTGATTTCCATCGATGGCCTCCCCCATCATGTTCTTAACCAGCACGCGGCTCAAGCATTTGATGGCACAATGGCAGGGATGCGTGTTGCCGATGCCATTGTAAGTTCAATTCATGTTCGACGATCGGAACGCCAGCAGCGTGGGTGATAAGATCGAAATGACTCCGCCACGTGAAGGTCATACTAGACATGCATCGATCACGTCCGATTGTAGGAACGGATGACTCGTGTGGGACATTGTTCGGCAGCCGTGTACCTCTACATGAAGCTTGCACGCATCGTTTAGGTATCCGAACCTCTCGCCAATTCCGAATGCCTGGCACCCTGCGTGGCAGTTACACTCTGCAGCACGGGCTGCAATCTTCCCGAATTTGTGAACCTCGCGTCTGGGTTGGAGTCGTGTCATGTCCCATTATGGGTGTCTCACCTGTTGCCGCGTTGAGCGCCCCCTACTTCCCTAGGCGAAGGCGAAGCGGACAGGGAGGAGAGAGGGGAGGGAGGATACTTGTATGAACCATGACTTTTTTGTTATGCTAGCATCTTGCCTGCGTTTCCGCGGGTGTTTGAAGCAGCGGGTATGCCAAATCGCCTTGGCAGGTTCAGTGGTGCATTCTTCGAGGGCGTGTCAACGTCCGCGGCAAGAGTATTGCATCCATCGTGAGGCAAGTCAGCGCAAAATAATGTTCGACGCAGCGTCGTTGAAGGCAGCAGTGGCACGTGCAAGAAATGTTATGATTTGGGCGAGGTTCTGGATATCTGCTGCAATGTGCTAGCATATCATGGTCGTGGGCACCAAGACAGTGTTCTATACGAAATATGCTCGTCGACGCCTAATGTACTGTAATGTACCTGTGGCTACATGGGACTTTGCACCTCGGCAGTTCCCTCCTGTTGACACGATGTCTCTGCATGTGCATGATCGGCCCGTTCTTCCCTCATTACATCAGACCCCCCCTTGCATTACAAAACAATGTTTCCCATGTGTACCCCCACGAACCTCGAAGGGAGGCTGGCCTGGAAGAGTTGGGCAACAGCTGTTCATTCACAGGTGCATCGCTGCTCGCTCTTGCGAGTGCATTGGTGGCGACTGGTTGCAGTAAAGCTCTGGTACCCGCTCAGCAGGCCCACCATAAACACGTGCTCGCCAGGTTTGCGCATGTGCAAATGTTGATGTCCTCGCATGTGCCCGCGCTTGCGAATACGAAATCGCTATGGAGTCTGGCCGCCCACGCGATGACACCTGGCTGGAAGAGTGCCCGGGTCCCGTCTGAAGTGCGCAGGACACATTCAACCGATGCATTGTTTACCGTTGCAGCTATGCGTCGCAGCGACGAGGCATCATCGTTCCAGTCGTGCCACCCCAAGGACTCCGCGGTAAGTTTCTTGCGTCGCATTTTGTTTGCGACGCCAGAGGGAGAGGAAGAGGTGGAAGAGGAGGAGGGGATGTACGGTAGAAGGAGAAGGATGTGGAAGAGGCGTCGGAGGAGGATAGGGTGGCGAATGATGGTAGGGAGGAGGAGGCGGAGCAGGTGGAGCAGGAAGGACACGAACGCAGAAGTAGGAGGACACGGATGAGGGCGACATAGAATGGGGATAAATAAACAGGCGGAGAAAGTAAATGCAGGTTTGGAGGAGCATTTTGAGAAGTGGAACGTTTCTTGAAAGCGGAGCGGAGGCACAGAGGTCGAATCGGAGGGCGGCTGCAGCAGAAAGTCAGAGGCGCGAGTGGAAGATTGAATTTGCCAAGCGCTAGACGACGAGGAGGACAATGACGAGGACGACGGAGGACCAGGACCAGGACAGGACGAGGACCAAATCGACGAGGAGCAACATTTGAAAATGGCAAGAAGAAGGAGGAGGCGCAGGGAAGAGGACGAAAATCATAATCTTCAGGGGCAAGAGCAACCGCAGACCTGTACCGACCCAGGACGAAAGATGTGCCTCTTGATGTGCAAACTGCGACACTGCGAAACGTAACCGACGCGGGTGGGCTCTGCATGGGGCTTTGGATCTGGTGTCCGACCAGCTTCCCTGTTACATTCACGAGTATATGTTTAAGATGGGTTCGGCACTTGATCCGTGGGGTGAAAATGGCATGGACAGAATGTCCACGACAGACGAAGTTATATCGACACGGATGGAAACCATAGTTAATCCAACGTGAGCCGGAACCCGTATTGGATCCGCGCAGTTTGCAAACATATTCGTTCCAATTCCATTCATACATTCCGTAGCCGTTCTTGAAGACGTCGCTTCCAGGCCCAAGGGGGACAGTTTCCACGGGTGCACGGGAGGTCAAGCTCCCACACGCCCGCCATAAGCACGCGCGTCAACGCCTTTTACCCGACCTCGGCACCTTGGCTGACCCATGTGAACTTTTATTGTGTTTTCCTCTGCTAACGTTCGGCTCGCCCGTTGCTGTGTGTGCTCAAGTCATTCTGGGGGATGCTCTGGAGCGACCTCGTTGGCCTCGCCCGCGATCTGCTGCCAGCGGCGCTCCGCCTTCGGAATTCCTGGACGGCAAGCAGCTGCCCCGCGTGCCCCTCGCTGGAGTGCCCGCAGTTGGTGCTGCCGGCGTGCTCCTTCCTCCAGTGCTGGGACTGCGCGTGCCCTGAGCTCGGGCTGGGCCCGCTCCTCTGGGTGGGCGCGGGCATCGGTCTCGGGAGCGCCGCGGCTGGTGCTGCGGCGGGCTGCGCCTTCGGCGCGGTGGCGAGCAGCCTCTGGCCGGGGCCGTCTGCCCAGCGGGCTGAGCCGGCAGGGGCGGCGACAGCGGCGAGGCCGGCGCCGAGTGGGCTCGTTGTGTGGGCCGGCGGTCGGCCGGCGCCGAGCGGGTCGACGACACCGGCGCAGTTGAGGGATGCCAACGTTGGACACCAAGTATGCGCAGGTGCTCGTCCACTACCCTGGCGACGACAACGGGCTGGTGTGGCTCCATCGTGTGTTTCTGTATCGCATCGGTGCTGGCCGCTGGGTGTGCTTCAATCCCGATATGCAGCTCCAGATCCACGACCTCAACGAGCAGCGGCACAACGTTTTGTCCAGGCGCGCGCCGTTCCCTGCCAACGTGGCGGCCGCGTCGTATGTGTTCGACGACCACGGAGTCACAGGCCCTCAGCTCGAGGACTTCGTGGCGCAGGCGAACGCGCAAGCCGTCATCCTTGCCGACGGCGGCTTCGGCGACCCCGAGGTCGAGAGGTGGGTCGTCTACTAGGTGGGCGATGGGCACTTCGGCAAGGAGGTGCCAGACGACGTGCTGGCGGACGGGCAGCGGCTCGTCTCGCTCGGGTCACTCGGCGTGGTTGACTGGCTCGGGTCGAAGCGCTTCGTGGAGCGGGTCAGAGAGGACAAGCTCGACGAGTGGAAGAAGAAGCGAGATCAGAGTGAGGGCGACTCGAGGATCCTGGGAATACACCGCGAGAGGGGGAAGCGCTACCTGGCGCCCTCGGACGCGGTGGAGTTCTTCACGGAGGAGACATTCGACGACTGGCCGTTCCCTCCCCCGCGCGCGACCAAGGAGTCTTTGGAGGCCGTGCGGGATGGGCCTGGCTCGATCGTGGTCTATGAGAGCGAGTGGAGGCAGGAAAGCGACGTCGGCGATGGCACCGCGGCCCTCCACGAGCACCGCAACAACGCGGAGGTGCTGCGGCTGGCTCGCCAGGTGGATCAGCTCCACGTGCCCAACCTGGCGTGCTTCGAGCAGTTGGTTCGGATGCAGATTCAGGTCGACATGGCTGTGGAGAGGAATGCGAAGCATCCAGACCATGTAGGCTTAGACCTCGTCATGGGCGGCCGACCAAAGAGCGGCGCCGCCGCGGGCACATGTTTCAGGGTTTGGGTCTACAAGAATCAGGGCGAGCGTGCTCAGACGCTCAAGCAGGCGCGGCTGATGCGGGAGGAGCAGCACAATGAGGACAATTGCGCAACAGGTGGCAAAGGAGCGGGCCCCGACCCCGGGGGGGCGCCGGGGCCCGGGGGGAGCGCCGGCGCGGGGGGCGACGGGAGGACGGAGGGGCGCTGACCCTGACGGGTCTTCCCGCTCAGGCTGGGGCCTCCGCGCAGCATGGGCGCCCCCGCCGCCAGTTTGGATCGGCGGTTTCGGTCTCGGAGGCGGCGTGGCCAGCTCTTCCTTTTCCGTTGCCGCCCCCTTCTTTCTCGGGCCTGGCATTTCCCGGCGCTCCTCGATATGTGCGGCGGCGACGGCGTGATCAGCTCCATCGGCGTCGGCGAGAGCGTGGAGCGGTTAGACGTCTCTTCGCCATCTCGCCGCCGGTACAACTTCGCACCCGAGCGTCTCAAGCGCGCGACGATTCGGAGGCGTGCGGGGCACCCCCGTGCAATGCGACGTCCTGCAGCACGTCGCTCGGCGCGTCAGGGCGCGCGGCCCCCCGCCTCGAGACCTGGGCGGCACGGGGCCCTCGCAGAGCTCCTGGCGCCCATGGGCCCGTGCTCGCAGGGGCCGAAGAGACTCGCCGAGCACGACATCAACGGGCGCAAGATGTGCCGCTCGGGCACCGTGGCGAAGGGCGCGAAGACCCCCCCTCCGCCTAAGCCGGCGGGCCTCATCAAGCCGTTCCAGCACTGCATCGAGCGCGACGCTGAGAAGATATTGGAGATGCAGGCGGCCGAGGATTTTCCACGGCCGCAATGGGATCCGACGCTGGCCCGGGATCGCGACGACATCTTCGAGCTCGCGGGGCGCCTCAGGCAGGCCCGCCTCCTCGGCGCCAGGGGGCGCATCAAGGCCAAGGTCGGCATCTTCTTCGTCGCGAAGGAGGGCCCCGCGTGGATCAGGCTCACCATCGACGCCAGGCAGGCGAGTCGCTGCCACAAGACGCCATCCAAGACTCTAGGGTCTGTCGGCGGCTTCTGCGAGCTGGACAATCCAGACAGCGCGCTGCGCGACCTGGGCGGCTTGGGCCCCGGTTCGGGATCAACCTTCCCCGCGCGGCTGGCGACCGGGGCATCTCATATCTATGACGACGACCTCGGAGGGCGGGTCGCGGTCGATCCGTCCGGGGTGGCCCACCCCGTCTTCCGCGGCATGGCCATGGGCTTGTCCTGGGCGCTGCACCATGCGAACCAGGCTGTCTCGCACCTGGCGCTCAGGAGCGCCATCTGCCTTCGCTCGCTGGCGCGGGAGCGGACTCCGGCCCTGGCCGCCTCGCGCTTGGGCCAGGCGACGTCGGGCGCGTGCGTGGACAACTTCACGGCGCTCGCTGGTGACCGGGAGACGGCGCTCGACTCTGTGGAGCGGTTCAGACAGGCGGCCTCGTCGGTCGGCGTCGGCACCCACGTCGATTCGGACGTCGCCGCGGTCTTCGAGAGCCCAGGCGCGGTGTTCGACGGGAAGCAGCGGCGCCTGCGACGCGTACCTCGGCGAGCCTGGCGGGTCTACACTGCGACTCGGGCCCTTCGGCGGCGGCGCTGGATCCACGGGGGCGCCCTGGGGATCTGGCACGGGCACGTCGTCAACTTGTTCGGGCTGGCGCGACCAGCGGTGTCCTGCCCCCGAGCAATCCGACTGTCAGGCACGAGATGCGGCTCGCGGAGGGCCTCCTTTTTCTTGGCGGGCACGACCTGGGGGTCGACTTCAGCCGCGAGGTCTATTGCGCAGACTCCTCGGGCGAAGGGCACGCGCTGCAGTCTACCACGGCCGCCGACTCCGAGCTGCGCGACCTCGCCCGCTACCGTGAGAAGCGGAGGTTCAAGCTCGGATGTGGGCCTGTTGTGACTTGAGTGGGTCGAACACGCGGGCGGCCGCCTCGCGCCTGGCGGAGGGTCTGATCCTCCGGAGGGCGCCTGCGCTGACGTTGCTGCGCGAGGGTTTCGACTTTGTGCCAACGGCCCGCAGACGCAGTTTGGGCGCTCGCTGGAGGCGGCCTCGGTCGCTCGGGCGGCCCCCCGACCCCGAGTTGGGCGCCGCGCACGCGCGCAGAGGCCGAGGCCCCGCCCGGGGGGGGGGGGGGCGCCGAGCGCGGCGCCGCCCATCGACCTCCGCTGGGGCGACCGCCAGAGGCGGGGGCATCTACGAGTCGGACGCTGGCGCTGGACAGGGGAGCACATCAACGTCGAGGAGGGCCGCGCGACCCTGTTCGGCTTGCGCCGGGCGCCCCGCGGCCGCTGCAATCGCGGCATGCAAGTGGCCGCGATCGGCGACAACCTTGTCTCGATCAGTGCCTTTGAGAAGGGCCGCGCGAAGTCGCTGGCCCTCAACGCGCCGGCGAGGCTGGCGGCCAGCTACCACATTGCCGTTCGGATCAGCTGGCACTCGAGGCACGTTGAGAGCAATCGGAACGCGGCTGATGCCGGATCTCGTTGGCATCAAGCCGGGGGCGCGCGCGAGTTCGAGTCTCGGGGGCCTGCGC